GGACGTTTCCAAACAAATACAAGACTGTGTCTTTCGATCTCTGATTTTCATCCAGATACTTGGAATCCTGCTTGGACGGTTCATCTTTAAATCATATTATGCATGAATTTTTTTTTTGAAAATTTATCCTGTCTAAAAATTCTTTTCAACAAAAGAAAAAAAAACATTCATGAAAACAACTTTCTAATGGTAAAACCGGTTTTTCCATGATAACAAAATTGCCAAATTATTAAACTTGATCAAATTCAAAAGAGATTGTTGAAAAATGTTGAAAATAATTTGAAAGAGAAAATTTTCTTTTTTTTTGAAGAAGAAGAAGAAGAAATGATTGAAAAAACGAATTTTCTTAATAAATTTCATTTATTCTTTTTGAAAAATATTATTTTGAAAAAATTTTGGATAAAAATAAAATAATAATTAGAATGAAAGGAAATGAGAATATAATTATTGATTTTCAACATTTTCAAAATCTTTTACTATTTTTTATCTTTCAATCGATACTACAATTGAAATTTCAAATTTCTTTTATTCACTACAAATAGTTTCAAATTAATGATGAAATTACAATTCAGTTAATTAGCCATCCAAAAATATCCTAAGGCAAAATAAATAATATTTTGTTTAATTATTTTAAAATGAAAATGGACTGATCGTATCATTATGCTACTGCTCCTATTTTAGTTTGATCCTTCAATCGATACATTGAACGTATAGAAATTTGGAATTTTTTTTTTGAAGAAATGATTAAAATCGAATTTTCAAAATAATGATAAAATTCCAATTCAGTTAATTAGCCATCAAAAAAAAAAAATCCTAAGGCAATAAATAATATTTCGTTTAATTATTTTAAAATGGAAATGGATCGATCGTATCATCATGCTATTGCTATCTATTATGGACTGGTCGTATCATTATGCTACTGCTATCTGTTATAATTTGATCTTTCAATAGATACTGAAGACATATTGAACAAATAGAAATTTCAAACTTTTTTTTTTTATTCACTACAAATAGTTTCAACTTAATGATGAAATTACAATTCAGTTAATTAGCCATCAAAAATATCCTAAGGCAAAATAAATAATATTTTGTTTAATTATTTTAAAATGGAAATGGACTGATCGTATCATTATGCTACTGCTATCTGTTTTAGTTTGAAAATCAAAATACGATATGTTCTAATTTTTTATATTTTGGAATTAGTAATTTTAAAATTTATGAAATGTAATAATAATCCTAAAATGAATTTAATAAAGGTAAGAAATAGCAAAATAAAAAGGAAAAAGAAATCTTTTTTTTAATTAGAAGAAAATATAAATATAAATTAATTTTAAATTGAAAAATTAAAAAATTATTGAAATTTATTTATTTATTTTTTACTCTTTGATTGAACGTTTTTGAAATGGCTTTGTAAATATGCAAAAATATTTATTAATAATATTAGAAAAGAATTTTTTAATTTATTCAAAAATAAAAATTATATATTTTTTCCAATATTGTTTATTTATTGTTTAATACTTATTGTTTATTGTTTATTATTTTTTGTTTATTATTTATTGTTTATTGGTTACTACATATTGTTTATTAAAAAAATTAATTTCTTGATTATTGTTTATTTATTATTAAATTTGTAATTAATTTAAAATAATTATCTTAATCAAACGTTTTACTAATTAACTATTTTTCATTTTCTTTTTCAACCTTTTATTTCAATCCTACCCTTCCTTTCTCAGTCATTTCTTTTTGCTTGAAAAAATTTTTTCTCACATTTATATTTCTTTTGAATTAAAATTCACACTTATATTTCTTTTGAAAAAAATAAGAGTAAAAATGCAACAATATATTTAAGTTGGATTAATTAATTAATTACACGTAAACATATGATAGGTAGGACTTCAAAAATAAAAAAATAATAATTAAATAAATTTAATACAGCAAGTTTGAAACAAAGTGAAAACTAACACAAGTTGTAAACCAGCCATAGTGATAGTAATATCATTTGTCGCATATAAACATCGTATTTGCAAGTTTGTTACGCCATCTACCAAAATATTCTTCATTGGGCTTATAATTAGCATTGAGGTTATTTCACCTGTTTTCTATAAATTTATGTGAAAGAGATAATTGAATTAATTATTTGATTTGAAGTTCCATCCTCTTTAACTATTCAATAAATAATTAAAAAAATTTGATCCATTAAAATTATTACTAAAATTTCAGCAGACATTTTTAAATTCATTAATATATTCAAACTATAAATACAATAACCACATTTACTCTTTAATATAGAATTAAATAATTTTAAAATTAAAATTAATTTAATTATATTCTAATTGAAGAATTAAATTGATTAATTTTGGAAAATCTTCTAAATTCAATTTTATCACTTTTCTGTTTTAAAGCAAGAACTTAAATTAGTTAAATTAAATTTTAATTGAAAAATTAAATTGATTAATTCTTGAAAACTATCTAAATTCAATTTCATTATTTTTTGCTTCCAATAAAATTGTTTCAAACCAGTAATTTAATTGATTTATTAACTACGAAATGAATAAACAATGAAATATGTTAATTGAATTAATTATTCGATTAAAATTTTTATCCTTTTTTAACTTTTTGATTTATCAACTAAATAAAAAATCAATATGCAATTATTAATTAGCAAATAAGCTAAATGATAATAATGTTGCAAAAATTACCTGTTGCAACTTAATACCACATGCATAGCTTCCATCTGATCCAAAAATAGGAATGCTAACATTCATTTTGATATTATATTTACCATCCCAACGACATGCACTATCATTATAAGCCTTATCAGCAAAAATGATACCACTAAATGGTTCATCAAATTCTAATTGAATATCCATTCGATTACTATAACATGTTATCCCATGATCTAAATAAATTTCAACAATCATCGATTGTATTAGTTGAAAAATGATAAGAAAATCTGAAATTGAAAACTTAATAATAAATTTAATAAAACATGAAATTTGAAAAATTGAAATTAGAAATAACGATTTCTTTCTTTTCAAATAACTCTTAGTTTTGTTTAAATTAAACCATATTCATCAATCAATCATACAATATCATTTTGTGTTAATATATAATTTATAATTTGCAATTCTTAACTAAAAATTATATGATTTATATTTTGCAAATTCTTAACTAAAAATTATATGATTTATAATTTGCAACTCTTACCTAAAATCGATAATAGATTACAGCAATACTTTTATACGATTCTTTCTTTCGAACTTATCTTTACTTAATAATTATTATAGGAATTAAATATGATCGGACAAAAATTCATACCTTTAAGTAACTTCCTATTCTGTGAGAAATGCAGAATAATTAGAAAGATAAAATAATTTACTTTATGGTTCATTTGAAGTATATCGTTGTTAAAGCCATTAATTCCATTGCTCAATTAAGAAATTCAATTTAGAAATTTCAATTAATGAAACAGCTAAAAAACTTCGATTAAATTAATCAACAATTTGCTTTTGAACGGATCGAATTATTAATACTTCATAACTAAATTGCAAAAGGTTACGTTTATTTTTTTATTGAAAAAAAAACTGCTACTAATACTATTGATGAAGTGGATAGTAATTATTTTCAACTTAAGGTCAAAGGTTATCTCTAAATGATTTTTCTTCAATTAAATCCATTGTTATCATTCGATTATCGCTTATTTCGATAAGGAAGCTAAATAAAGAGGGTGAAAACAAAGAATTTCAAGGTCATTGGAAAAAATGTTAGTGATATATGTTTGATGGATAAGAGAATTTTTAATGAATTGATATTATTCATATGGGGTAATAACAATGATAATGATAGTGATATAATAATAACTATAATAATATTTATAATAATGATAATAATAATAATGATTAGATGACGATCATGCGTAAGGATATTATTCATAAAATGGCGAAAATTTATTATTCCTGACAGTAATCTCCGTTGCTACCAGTATTTCCATCTTCATCATTACAAATAATCACTTTCTACTTTGCCATCAAAGAATATTAATTATTCCAATGCAAAGGCCATCCCATCATACTACATAACAATCATACTATTTCGAAGGCGAAAGTGAATCATGGATAATTATCAAAATTTCAGGTAAATAACTAAAGTATAGCCAGTACTTCTACAGTACTTATTTCTTCACCAAAATTAGAATAATTGAAAATTTTTAGAATCATTAATACGATTCTTAATATTTGTTTCAATCGTTAATGCAACAGATGATAATTGTCGATAATTGCTACTTCTGCGATAAATTCATTACACTATCACTTTTGATAATGTGTAAAGAGTATTAAGAGTTTTCAAATATTTTCCATTAGAGATGGTCTTCTGAAATTGCCAAATTATCAAATCTTTTGAAATTGTCAAATTACCACATCTATCCGTTGAAATTATTTAATTGCAAAATTCACTTTTCGAAATTGTCAAATTAATAAATCTCCCTTTTGAAATTGTAGAATCTTCCTTTCGAAATTACTGCAATGATGCTTAAATTACTTGTTTTGTTCAGCATTTCGTATCATTTCGACGGTGTATCAAAAATTATTAATGAGAATTATCGGGAAACTACAGATAACATTGCGAAAACTTTTAAAATTTATTAAATCATAATTGGCTAACATCAAAATACAGAGGTAATACTTACTAAAGTACTTAATTACAGAGAATAATTTATACGCAATAAATTATATATAATGAAAATTCAAATTTAGGAAAAAGAAATTTCTTATGTTTGTATGACTAGTAAAAGCAAGAGTAAGAAGTGCGAACATATATATATTATATATATACAACTTTCATCTTTGGTTAAATTTTTGAAAATGAAACAATAAAAGAAAATTCGATAAGGCAATGACTCACATAATATACAAATATAAGGCCTGAAATAAAATTATGCAGAAACATGTCCAAGAGATTAATCTTATCGTCTACATTTCTCTAGCAATAATTATAGTATCCTTCTGATGAAGTCGTTCCAGTTTTTTCCCAATTTGTCCCACTGCCTTTCGTATTTCTTTTGAAAACATTTATTTCACTAAATTGAAAGAACAAAAACAAAACAGCAACCTCAAACAATTAGAAGTTAAATAAAACTTAAATTTTATCCCAATCTATTTTAAATTATCTCGAAATTTCTCAATCATAATGATAGAGTTAGTGCATTATAATAGCACTGTTCATTAGAACGATTAGTACAGCAAAAATAAATTTTGACGAAGTAGACAATTAAGTTCTTTCACCTGATCTTTCAAACAAAATGAATATAGCATTTCATTTATAAAGTCATTAATTTTCGAGTAAATTTTCACTCCTTTGAAAATTCGTTAAAAAAACTTCGTGAATAGAAATTTCATTGTTTTGCTCAAAGATTATTAGTCTTCGAATTTTCTCATACTATCGAATAAATAATTGATGACAGATCAGTTATTTTTACATAACATGAAATCAAGCAAAACAAAAGAAATCACTGGGAAAGGTTTAAAACATAAACTTCGAGGTAATTACAATTACTCTCATATGCGAAAAGCACTAATATTATTCAAAAATTCAAAATCCATGAAATTTATCCAACGTTACGATTAGAATTGCTATAACCATGTTTTAAATAATACTTTCGAGTTTTCATAACTGACAAATAAACATGCAGTTGCACAGAATGCACGAACCAACGTAATTGTTAATCCATTGTATAGTGTTCGTATACCTTAATAAAATATTGTCTACACTATCATGACGAAATCAACAATTTAATAAATCAAAAACTAACAAGTACAAGAACTATATTTGTGGCATATAAAATAGGACTTATTAAACTACAATTATTAGAAATGATTAAAAGATATCTGAAAATAATGTTCTTTATGTCAAATTTTGAAAATTTAAACTTTGCTGACTTTCAAAATGATAGCAAAAATATTCACAATCAGTGAAATACCTTCGGTTTTGATAATATTGCGAAATATGTCAATGAAACTTCCTGAGCCAACAACTTGCATACGCGATTTAACCACATCCACAGGATAAACAACACTCCATAACACTGCACCACCAATTCCTCCAGATAGCGCTGTCCATAAAACGCCTAAGAAGAATTCTGATTTATAATTTTAAAGGAATTATGGAAAGTTAGAATGGGAAGTTACCTAAAGAATACAAGAAACTTACAAAAATTTGATAAAATGATTAGGCCGCGGATTATAACCTCTTTTTTTCTTATCCATTACAAAAATGTACGGATTGACATAAAAACAAACCAATTTCAGACTTTGATTTTCCTTCTGCTGTAAAATAAAACCTGGATAATTCATATGAACCAAAAAAGAGGAAATATCCAACCGTTTCACGGCATAAGGTTGATAAAAAACCAGTATAAAACGACCTTAAGCCATATGTTCGATACAAACTGCGACATATTGACAATGGAGTGCTAGAAAAGTAGTTCAGTTCAATTAAAGCGTAACTTTGATTCACGAATGAACTATTTAGCAAAGTAAAAAATAAGCATAAATTAAGAATACAAACAAATTAAGCCAATTTAAGTATTCTCAAATCTAAAAATAAAGTTATGGGTAAAAATTACTTCAATTATTGTTTAGACGATAAAATTTTCAAACATGGATACGAAGTTAAAAAACTATCTCAAATATAAGATCGGCGAAATTTAAAAATTAAGCTGAGAATGAAAAATGAAAATCCATTTTTTAAAACTATCACTTGGAATACGGCAACAACTGAGTATTTTATAAATCAATTATATAGTATAACAATTTGAAAATTCCATACAGAACAGAATAACCCAATTCCAACATTTGATGTTCAACTTAATGAATATGTTACGCATGAAATTTCATAAATATGTAGAAATATTTATTTTTCATCAATAAATGGAATAAACATGATACGTTTACCTCGGTATTCCTGGAAAAGCTTCTCTTTGGGCTTGCAATTTGCATTTGACAAGTTCCGTCGGACAAATAACCATTGCTGCAAAAATGGATGCCAATGAACCAGATAAAGCATTTTCAACTGGCGTCATATCTTCCAGTTTTGATCGCCCATTACAAAATGCAACCACCTAAAAATTGTGCTGAATGAAAAAGTTATATTTAAAGAAAAACTCTATTTTATTGACTACTTTAAAACACTGTGGTGAAGAAAATTAGTACATCGAATATCGAAAAAAAAGAATATCGAAGCAAAACCTAACTTCTCTTTTGAAGGAACAATTTTGTTATAAGTACCTTTAATCTGTGTATATCTATCATATCTTTGTTGAATAATAATTAAACATAAAGAATGCATCAGAAAATGATTGATTAATGAACCTTTTTACAGTATCCATAAGCAGTAAAAAGTACCGCATTTTCGGCGATATTTGATGCTAAAGCTGGCACAGTACCTAAAACATTAATTCAATTGTTACTACTCATTAACTTAAACTTATTCTTATACAAACTAAATGGAGAAGCTAGATAAAATTGTACCTAAAAATCTAATGCTTAATTTTTGAATTTCGTCATGAAACAGTTGCGAAAATGTTTTAATTGATATGATCGCTTTCTCTATCAAATTTTTTTATATGAAATAAAAAAAGCAAACCTGCATACAAACCTCGAACACCATCTAGTCGTAAAATTGATTCAAAGCATCGTATACCTTTTGGATAAAAAATTGGAAATGTTTGCATTTTAACTTTCACAGTATCTAATGGTTGTCCAACAGCTACATTTACAATACCACCTTCAAAAATCATCATTTATCATGATGGATAAAAAATGAGAATGAAATTAAATATCAATTCAAAAAAAAAGCAGTAACAGTTTATCGTAACACATATTTTCTAGTAAATGAATAAACTTGAACAAGAAATGAAGAAGTATTTACCCACTGTACCGGCAGCTAAATCCACGATACCATCTTTGATATGGTTAACTTTGGAATACTGTACGTCTACTTCACATACGTCTACTTCAGATTTAGTCATCTAAATCATAAAATGATATATCAAGAATAAATTTAGACCATTTTAATATTTTCTTTTATAAATTTTAGAAAACGAATACATTATGCTATCGTATGGTGATATCACGATAGCTAACATTGATAAATGAAAATACTGTTGAGTAACTTCAACTTCGTAATTATTGATGAAAAGTTTATTCAGTAAGAAATAATAATACGGCATCCACATGAGATATAATATGATGAAACAAAAATGTTCAACCTTTCGGTACATCTTATACAATGGCTTATACGAACGCAAATTTTCTACAATTTAGATATTGTAAACTAGAAGAAAATATTAACTAGTCTGCTTTTTAACTGTTCAATTTTTCATTGACGTAGTTTAATATCATTGTGAGAAGACATAAAAAACGGTTATCTCAAAAAAGTGTCTTGCTGAAAGAGCTCGTTATGTTAACAATAGAAACTATTTCGTTTCATGTATGCACATTCAATATAATTTATAATAAACAGTGAAATTAATTTTGAATAAAATTCTAAAATGCAACATTTAGAACGACAATTGGATTACATGGCATTAAAAAAAATCAGCAAATACCTTCTCTAACGCAGTAGTCTCTTTGAGAGCACTGAATGTGATAATTACAAGCTTTAGGAATATTTATTATTTTTTTTTTACAGAAGAATTTAAATAAAACAATGAGATGGGGGAAGAACGACCACGGACTACCAAAATAAGTGAAAGAACAGCTGATACATTGATCCCACTTTGTTATTTTGCAATACAGGAGTTTTAAATTATAAAAGCTTTTTCCGACATATTTCAAAAACCATTCGCTCACGAAAATATGGCATATGCTCCTGATTGAAAGAGATCTGAGCCCGACGCGATGCATATTCTGCAAATTTACATGCAAACATTCCACAATCACTACCATTCATTTGTTGCGGGATATCCTAAAAAGAAACTCCTTAATGGATATCTTCTAGCTGAAAAATCTATCCAAAACTGAACAAAAAACTCAAAAGCTTAAATCTTTCTCTCAAATGCTAAAAAACTAACATAACGATTCATAAGTTGCCATCCACTAAGGTCGAATTCTTGCTTCTTTTTATCTAACGATTCCTCACAAAGATATTCACTGAAACAACGAAAATCTAAACAAGTTAATGCCGATAAAAAATGAAGTTTAAACGAAAATATTTAAAACAATAAGTTCTCCGAAAAAAATGGAAGATTACCTCAGTATATCCAAGCAGCGGTCATTACTACCACCCATTGAATCATAATAATCAATTATCCTATTTTTAAAATCAATTACCTGAAAATCCACAATAATAGAATAGGTGCCAAATAATATCACATAACATAAAACAGTTTCTTGAAGGAAAAAACAACAAAATTAAAAAAAGAGGGACTTACAGCAAGACACCAATGGGCACCCAAATGAACAGGAATTAATAATATTTCGTATGAAAATACATCAATTTTACGTGTCCAACGTCTAACGGACGCATATCCTTTGGTACTCAGCGTAGAATAAAAAAATGAATTGAACGCGTACGCCTAAAGAAATATAAAGAATGATTATTCCCAATGAATGCAGAATCAAAAAGGTCAATTTTGCAAGAGTTCTCAAGTTTCTTGAAGAAAAAAAATGGATTGCAAAGCAAACAAATTATGGAAAGTTGAACAGATGAAACTGTTTTCGCTATGAAGATTTATCCATCTGAGTGAAAATGCATTTGAGAAAGATTTGAAAATTTTACGAAATACACAAAGAACCAATTTTTTGAACTTATGCAAGATTTTTCTGAATAGCATATTTTTAATCTATTTTCCAAGTGCTTAAAAAATAACGACCAATTCTGTATAACTGCATAAGTATTTTTAAAATAACCAATTCTGTATAACTGCAAATACTTACTTTCGGCAAATTTGCATCATTTTTTGACCTTTCACAAATGAGATTCATATAAAAATTGACTACTTCATCGTTAAGCCAATCAAGCCCTTTCAACGTCAGCAAATCTTTCCGTGTTATTTCATCAGATAATTTCTCACTCAGCGGCAATTTTCGGTCCCAAGCATGTTCCACCAGTAGTAAAGCTTCATCATCAAGTTCTAAAATGACGATTCAAGGCAATAATTGAGTCTCAGCTCATAGCGAAAACCTTGAGATGACTAGAAATCTCATTATTCTATCTTTTTAAATTATAATTTTCAAGCTAATAAATAATAAGAAACCTGGAAATTCATCCTTGGCCTTCCGCAAACGAAAAATGTATCCGGTGAAAGTCAATTTTTTCCTCAACTGCTCTTCCAAACTCAATTCCTCATCCCGTCGTGCTTCTTCTCTGCAAACAAAGATATAATCTATATGTTGCATTATATAGTTGTAAAATAAAATTTATGCAATTAAAAAATTAACAAAAAATCACATTAAACGCTTCTGAATCACTAGCTCCTTGGCTCGACGATCCCTTAGAGTAGCTTGTTGACGATACAATGCTAAACGATGCTCTGCTAGTAGTTTCGTACTTTTTTCTTTTTCCCACAAGGCTTTGAAATCATCGTGATGCTCTATATTCCAAATAACACGAACTTCCCTGCAATATGGCACATCTCAGAATTTCAAATAAAACAATGAGACGCAAATTACAAATCACAATAACATTTTTCTTGCAAAAGCACAGCCAAGAGAGTGAGAAAAAAAATAACATCCTTAAAATGCCAACCTGCTCACTGAATGTATTTTTTCCTGATTCACATTTGTGTATTGAGCGGATTCACTACCATTACTGCTTTTTTCTTCTGAAACAGCAATATTATCCGAGCTGTTCGCTCGAGTGGATCCTTTACGAGATGAGCATGTCGATGAAGATCCACTTTGTGAAACGGAATTTAATGCAGATTGGCCACGGTGTAAGAGCTCAAGATAATCTGTTTTTTTGGATGATGGCTTCCTGAAACTGAAAGATCTCTTGAAATTCCTGAAATCACTTCTAGACCGTATGATTTAACAAAAATATACCTTTCATCGTGCTGGGAAAGTTTTGTGCCCGTTTTAAGAATACCCACTTCTTCTAAAAATTTTCTGTAGCGTTCTTTGCTTTCCTTATCAACAACCTGAAATTGGGCTTGAACAACAGTTTAACAATACTATTATTGGCAATAATCCAGGTCAGGCGGTAAATTATTACTCTTCCGTTTTTCATGAATTAGCTTTTTTCATGAACTTGATATGCAATAAAATTATGGATACACTTACGTTGGCCTGTCTGCCAAAACGCTCTTCCCTGCTAGTACCGAGATTCCTCGATGAAAAAATCTTATATGGTGAATAACGACTTGATAAAAACATATTTCTGCAATTATTGAAACATTATTAAATCTAATGCACATATTTACAAGAAAAATACTTGAATTTTTATAGTCCTCATTAGACAGCTATCCCAACGTGACTTTCGAAATCCCAATTTCCCAAAAATTACATCAAGATTCAAAAAAAGAACTTGGCCGAAGATAATGTCCGTCGACGTTCCCATTTATCCGATAAGATACCCGAACCTAAAATACCCCAAAGTGAGATTTCGACAGAGTAATTGCAAGTGAAACATATCTTCGCTTTAATAAACCATTGAAAATTTTCAAATTTTTTCGGGAATGAAATGATCAAATTAATTGTAAACGAAGCTAACAAAAAGAAAAAATTGTTTAATTTGTGAAACAAGATTTTGCACAAAACAACTACAAAGAGAAAAACATGAGATTTGTGTCAGATTCCAGCGAATTTAGCTTTAGAAAAATGCATCCAGTGGACAGATAAAAAAAAAATACGAGAACCTGTTCGCGAAAGCGATGGTGAAATTTGTTGACTTATACTATGCTCTGGTTGCGGTGATGGAGAATCGCACTTCAGCGTCTCATCCTTCACACCGTTTTCCCGAAAAACATCCTTACTATGAGCTAGAAAATAGAAATCTTGCATATCTCAGCTGGTTTCCCTTAATCTTTTTCAGGAATTTTACCAACAACCGAAAGTGCTTTTCGAAATCAACGTTACTTAAGCTACAATCCTTAATGAATCCATCACAACTGATTGCCTAATGTCAATCACCAGATTTTCTTCCTCTTATTTTACTCAATTTTAATATCACGCTTTAATTTATACAATCTCTAATATTCTGGCAGTTGAAATGAACAAATTAACTTTTACCCCATATTGGCATTGCAGTTAAGGTATTTGATGACTTCCTTTTTTCCTTTTTCGATCCTTTCTTTTCGTTTTCTTTGTCTTCTACCTGCTCAACAGTGCTTCTACCAGAACACAAATCTGAAAGTCAATAGCGATTTGAGAAATAAAAACTTTCGAAATACGGAAAAGTAAATAAAGTACTACAAATAAAAATTAGAGAACCTTTCTTTGAAATCAAAGAATACAATATTGAATCTTCTTGTTTGATAAATATCACATCGTCATCCTCGCCAGCTAAATATAATATATAAATATTTTTCCACGCAACATTCAACAATAAGTAACTAAGAGAGACGCCAAAAAAATTATTCGATGCATTCGATGCATTATTTCATCATGGCTCAGTAAAGCCGGAATACGATGCAGCGAAAGAAGAAAATCACTAGACCCATTGGTACTCGTGGCTATCTTCTTTTATTTATGAAATGAAATAACTATTTAACAGAAGTAAAGTTTTAAAAAATAAACGATTCCTTTTGGTTCTCTTGAAGCTTCTAAAGCATACTTCCTGATATGCTCTAACATATGATTCATCTTTTCTCATTTCCAAGAGTGGGAAGATACTTAGCTTTGCTCTTATGAAATGAAATAACTATTCAATCAAAATTTCCCCCCGATTTCTCATAATTTCAAAACACCATACCCATTGATCCACTAGTTTCTTGTCCGTTCATTTGATGTGTAATATCATCATTTACTGATCGTTTACTCATGCGTGCTTTTGCAGTTGCTAATGATTTAACTGATGGCCGAAAAAGATTTGTCATTGGTGCAAGGAATCGTGTGATGAAAGCTATAAATTGGCTTTTCGGGAAATTTTCAAATTTTATGATCAAGCTGAGAATAATAAGATAAGTATTGCAAAATTCTATTTTTGAAATTCCAAACGAATCGAACGATTACGCTGCATATAAAACAGACCGAAAAAACCAAAGTTGCCGTTATGATCATCATCAGATGTCGGTGTAATAGTGGAAACCATTTGTTGCCTGACAGGCTCCAATCTTCGCCGTTTATTTCCATACACCGAGTATCGATATGGTCGATCCCCCATGCAAAACAACAATTTCAAGCGCTGCGTATCATTCTGATATGTATCAACTGCTAAAATCCATTCAGGTTTTATAATCAAAATTTTGGTCTCAAAATGAGCTACACAAAGAAACTCGACAATTACCAATACACTGAAAAGAAGCTCTAACAGATCTGTGATGCCGGATTTTTGCTATTATCTTCATTGCACCAATATACTTTCCCCTTACGGTTGCGGACGAGAGATATGCAAGCTACTCCATCCCAACTGAACTGACCGGAACTAACGGGATTTCTCACAATAAAGAACAAACCCTATTATTGATAACTCCATGGTTTCCTTTCAAAAACTACAAACTTAATTAAGCAAAACACATCACATTTGACTTCAAAAAGGCTCCCTTATTTTTAGACACTGTAAAAAACCGCAACAAAGTTACAAGATGATAGTTAAGCTACAGCAGAACTAGCACTGTAAATACATCAAAATAAGTGCTCTTTTATTCAAAAATTTTATTGCAACGCAAAAAAGTGAAGTTTGGAAAACATCAAATTTGCAAAACATTTCGACTACATACAACATAAAATTCCTTAATGTACTCTTACAAAACGTTTCATATTAAAATATTAAAACTGCATGAACATTCACCATATGTGCTTTTTAACAATGGTATAGCTATAACAAAATTGAAGAGCCTGTAATATTATCTATGTCATCATTACGATCCTCCCATAATTTATTGATGAAATTTCATACATTCAACTTCTATTTTTTTGATGCTTTTCTTCATGCTTTCCCTGATATTACCGTCACATGCTTATTGTTGGCTTTTCAAGCGAAACAGCAGCACCATTATGGTAGTCCCAGATATTTATTTAATTATCATATTTCGATAAGAAAATTTTTGTCACACGAAAGAAATATTCTGAACTGAGTACTGCCTGTGAATAGGATGTGTACGTAATTAATGAACAAATAAACGAATTAATAATACTCCCTGAAATGTTTTGGAATTAATAACAAATCAGAGTAACATTACTGTCATTACGTCTTCGATGTGATGCTTAGGAGCAAATCCGTAACATTATTTCAACAACTCTCAAAAACGTTTCCTATAAATTTATCAAACAAATGACCACAAAGGATGCGAAACAAAATTAAAATTAAAGAAAAATATTTTGAACTCAACCAATTAATAATCCCTAAATCAATAGAGATTCTGGAATTGATTTAGAGATTATTAATTGGTTGAGTTCTAGTCAAGTTTAACCGACATATTTGTAAATAAACATTTCCAAACTGGAAAATCCAGTCACTGCTGTGACGAAGCATAGATGCGTAATGACCGGTCCATACCAACCGATAGAACACTGTGTGCATCACGTCCAAATCGAACCGATGTAACGGCATCCTTATGCTCAGTTAATGTAGAAAGTACTGTCCACGGTTTAACGTGTATCACTTGTACATCAGCTCCTGCTACTGCCAAATAAGTGCCTGATTGGTCGAAGCAAATTCCCGAAAGCTGCAAAGTCAAGCAAAGTCAACTATGCATTCTCATTTGTAATGGAATAATTTTTTTTTAACATTCGTTATTGCCAGTCAATTAAAATGTAAAAATGCAAAAATACAAAAAGTTATTGCGGTACTATAATTAAATATTGTTCATCCCAATCTCACATATTGTTAGCATGAAGTTAATCTGAAGAGAGAAAAAATAATAGTGAGAATTGAATTTACCGTATGCTTTCCCTCATTGATTGTCATTGTTTTGAAGCTCTTCAATTTTCTCAAATCCCATAGTTTCACCTCACCATCTTCTGCGCCGGTCGCCAAATAGTAACCATTTTCAGAAAATGCGATTGCCTTCACCATGCCTTAAAAATTACATTCTTGTTAATTAATTTTATCATTTATTGCTCCCAACTTACCACCAATGATACGACTACGCTTTAATCATATTTTTCATGCTCATTGACACACAGTTTTTTCCTTATATCTATGTTGATGAATACGAAAATATTTATAGTGATCTTAAATTCATATACAGCGTAATGAAAATGAAAAGCTTAGCATATTATTTCCACACATATAGTAGAAGAAGCTAAGTAAAATAGAAATCTATTTCTTTGGAATTCATGAAAAGATTAATATCATTTCATCGTCTTAATTTGACCTTGCATTTCAGCAGCATCACTAAAATGATGAATAATATAACGAGAAACCTTGATGGCCTGGAAAATTGGCAACATTTGTTTGCTCTTTCAAATCCCAAATTTTTACTATGGAATCTGCTGTTCCGGTACCAAAAATGAGACCATCTGGATGGAACTGTCCGCAGCAAATTGGCACCTTGTTCTTATCATCAGAGTGCATCTGAATTAGACAAACATTGGAGGAAAACAAGATATTATTATTTTCGAAGCACAGATGCATTTTACCATCATCTATAGTATCGCAGACTTCAACTGAATAATACTCCACAACCACGACATATCAGAAAAAAGTTCAAAAAATATAGAAACCAAAGTATTGATCTAAAACTTAAAAATCCATAGCAGCTAAAGCTCTAATGATTTTAGGGATCTCCCATCAGAAAATTGAAGTGTGAAAAGTAAATGGAAAAATGCATACTCTGCAAAGAGTCTTTCCGGAATAAATATCAGAGAGAGCCCAAGAGGAATCATTCGAAACAGATAGAACGTAGTCGCCAGTAGCATGCAACGATATATCTGTGACAGCACTTTCATGAGTTTCAATTACACTACGACAAGCTTCCTCTTTGATTGACCAAACTCGAACCTAAACTATTACAAAATCACAAATTACAAATTACAAATTACAAAATCACAAATTTGTATTACAAAATAATAAAGGCCTTATAGTAACAACCTTCAATGTTTGCTAACCAAGACAATCAATCTATAAAATCAGGAATCATTTTGGAATCAGAACATGAGGTCTTTCTCATTTTTTGCAAAAAATGTATCGTATCAAAGTATTTGTGTCCTGAACTTTAATCAATTTTTTTTTGGAATTCGACCAACTGAACAGTACCTGTCCATCAGAAGATGCCGACAGACAAGTTTCCTTCGTTGGGTGCAAAATAACGGCTGATATCTTCTTTTGATGCCCTCTGAATGTTGCTGTAACTGTTTCTGTTTCACTATTAAACAAAACGACGCCTTTATCGATTCCACCTGTCAGCACCATATTGTCCTGGAACACCATTTGGTTATCTCTATCCTTTTTCCTAATAAACTCATCACAATGCAATTTCCTGTATAACATTAAAAGATCCAACATTTAAAATTACCTGAACGTCAAGAGCTGTCAATCCCGGTACACTTGTACTATGAATTCCAGTATGGCACGCTATTTGCATGAATGTCTTCACCAGCTCCGGTTTTGATAATGCCTCCGGCAAATTCTTTCCGCGTTGCTTTCGTGCAGCTGTTAAGGTAGCAGCCTTATCTTGCAACTTTTTCAGCACAACTTCGCTGATTCCTTGCACACCTGACGAATATAAAAGAATCTCAAAGGGCTCTTAGAATGAATAAATTCATGAATTGAAAAGTAAATTGGCTATCGCCTTCGTACTTTAGTGCTGCTTCAGATTACCGTGTCACAAAATATATGCAAATGATACCTTCATCAACCGTTTCCATCTCATCTTGTATGCTGCCAACATCAACCACTGCTTGTGGTTTCAGTGTTGAAAGCGCCTCACGTGCAGCATTTAATTCTTTCGATAAACGCGCAATCACACGACAAGCGGCATCATGCTACAAAGAAAATCATATTCTCTCGAAATTTTGAGAAATTTTTAAAAATAATACTTTCTAAATTTCAATTTTCCGAAAATCTCACAACTTAAAATATTAAAATTATACAATGCTTAATATATTTCGCAGCCTAATATCAATCAGAAAGAAATCTTTCTCTAATTATTAAAATTCAACCACCAAGAAAAGAAAAGTAAAAAAAGAACTATGATGTCACATTCATTGTCGAGCAAATTGATGTCCTAACCTGATACAATGTATGTGATAATTCTTGACGTGCATTTTGCAATTGCTCACGTAGCATGAAGCTATTAAGCATGCATGCATCCCACTCATCTTGTAATACTTTTAACATTGATGGTATTGATGTTGCCGCTATAGTTCGTGGCATCGCATTCGCTACATCGGACTTGATTTCAACTAGCTATAAATAAAAAATAAATCAAAGATAGAAAATCAGAAGACATAACCAAAAGTACACAATCAACTAACATTTCCGTTGCAATTATCGAATTTTCAAATTTGCAAACCTCTTCATAAAGAAAATTCACTGGAAAATGCTTGGTAACTTACCTGATCCACCGTAAGTGGTTCATTTTTAAATGGATCTGTGCTATTTTCGTTAATATATTTAACAATAAGTCGTTTTTCAAAAATTCGTCCAGAAACGGGCGATACAACGGGTACTTCCGCCGGTTCACCACTGATCGAACAGGTATATAATGTAGACATCTAAAAATAAGGAAATGGATAACTATGCAATCATAAGAACAGTTTTTTGAACGCGTAGTGAAATTACTCACTGGTTATAGCTAATATCTTATGGTCAAACAAGCTAATGATTGAAATATGCACGAAATATTACATAGAAGCAATTAGTAGAAAAAAAAAAGATATAATGAAGAAAATTGAGAGTAGCCTCGAGAAATCTGTACAGCTCAATTAATAATATCATTCCGGTATAGAACTAAGACCTCCGGGAATGAAAAAAAAGACAGAAAATAAACCAAACACATAATTTACCAAGCACACCAATACCGAAATAGACTCTCTGTGTGGGGTTGATGTCAATTTCATACTTTTGTATCATAGTGCGATAGCTGAGCTATGGTCACTGCGAAATATCGAGTCCCAGCTGATAAAGAAATTTTGATGGGAATGGTTGTTGTAGGATGAATGATGTACGAGTTAAGCATATTTTACGGGTTTTCTGTTGCCTTCCGGAAATTTTTTAGTCATTTTTCTGCAGGATAAAATCGAAAAATTTTTTAACATATTATTCAGAAACTGGCGTTCTCTATGTTTTAACAATGAAAAATTTCCGGATACGGATGGCTTGAACAGACTGTAATTGTCGTTCCATTCACATAAAACGTGGTTGTAATATTATTACAATGATTTACAATGGTCTCATTATGATATGTCATGATATTTTCTCATTATCACAATTTATCATAATTCCATTAAGAATAATTTACTACAATTTTTTTCTTTCTATTTCATTAAGCTTCATTTCAAATTATATGTGTCATATATTTTGCAAATCAAAAAGTGTAGTCATGATTACTTGCTATAAGATCATAAGTGATAATTGCATAAATGTTGTGTTTAATAAATTTACAATACCCTAAACTAATTATTTATATATAAAATTTTTTGATATACCGACCGTAATACCATCATGCTGATTTATTATCGTATACATCGCGTGGGTGATTTGTTATCGTATACATTGCGTGGGTGATTTATTACCGTATGCGTCATATGCGTGTGTTTGTGTGTGCGTTAAAGTGCATGGTAGTTAATTTTGTTTTTAAGTCATTAAAATTGTTCCTAAAAGCCTATGATGATATTATTAGGCTTATTTTCATATGGATCCTAACTTTCTAGGCAATTGAAAAAGGCAACTTGTTGAAAATAAGCCTAATTGGAAACTGATTTAAATTGATAGTGGACGATATTGTTAGGCTTATTTTCATAAGGATCCTAACTTTCTAGGCAATTGATAAAAGCAACTTGTTGAAAATAAGCCTAATTGGAAACTGATTCAATTTGATAAAGGTCAAGTTGAGATAGAAAAAATAAAGAATTTAAAAAGAAATTAAATCAAAAAATTTATTTAATTGATAATTTTTATAAATTGCATGATAAAAATGCATTATGAAATGATAAAATATGCAAATTTTTCATATTAGCAATATGAAATTTCGATTTTTATTTTCATTGTTTATATTTTGCAGCAAAAATCTCAAAATTATCATCCATAAATATTTCCAATTTTGTAAACATTCTATTGATCGATGATAAGAATCTTATATTGATGCAATATTCGATGGATACATTTTATGCAAAATTTTATGCAATATAATTTTGATAGAATAAATAATTAGTATATACTCATTTACTAATTTCATCATCCATATACTTATACACCATCTTCGGAAATGAATTCATTAATTTGATTGGTTGTTAAAAGATAATTCCAATCAACGTCTTTCACTCTGAAACATATGATAATATTACGTATAATCTAAAAGAAAACGAAAAGAAAATATTCTTTGTTTTTTTTTCACTATAATTATTATTTTAAAATAATTATTCAGCTATTCCGGAAAATTATTATAATATTTATTCCGAAAAATTGAATAATTATTTTAAGATAATAATTATAGTGAATATTTTTACTGATGAATTTTTCGGAATAAATATTATAATAATTTTCCAAAATTCCCTTATAATATCATAGGTTAAAATGTTATACCGAATTCATTCTATAAATTGAATTATCGGTAAATTTAGATTATCTAAGTTTATAGATGATAATTTATTTATATCCAGAAAAAGTTTTAACTGAAATTGACTTTTCCGGAAATATGCTATAATAAAATTGTAAAGGTTATTAAAATCCAGAAAAAAAAAATTTTAACTGAAATTAATTATTCCGGAATTATATTATAGCAAAATTGTAAAGAGTGATAATGAAAAATTTACACATTCAATTTGTTGACATTACTTGCTGTGCAATAAGACTGAGTCTTATAATGACATGGCTTGTGGCATACAGTATGACAATCTATAATGAATGATAAAGAGTGGAATAATAATTTAATGATAAATTAGAGATAAATTAATTAAAGGTTTTTAAGATCTTAAAATTAAATACAACAAAACTAATTGTTAAAATAGTTAATCTAATGTTAAAATAATTAATAATCAAAACTAATGCCAAAAATAATTAATAATATTAAAATAATTAATCTGAATTATGTTAAAGCGAAATGTATTACTGAAATATTCACGATATAATTATATTTCCATTATTATTAAAAACGAATATAATGAATTTTATCATTTTATAAATAATGAATTTTATCAGTAATTGCATTAAAAAAACTTTTCATACTAAAATTTAATAATTTAATTAATTTAATTAATGTCTCGATAATAATTTAATTGGCCAATCCGTAAAAGTGATAAATTTTTTGTTGCAAATAGAATTGATTGATTTTTAGTAATAAAATTGGAGGAGAAATTTTTTTGGAATTATAATTTAATAACATTTGAAATATATTTTAATAAATTTAAATTATAAAATCAATTAAAAACCATTTAATAATTTTATCGAAACCAATGACAAAGATAATTGGAAAAACAAAGAAAAAATGCTAGCAAATTTGATTCCTTTTATAATATACGTTAATAAGAAATTGATAACTTAAAATCAGATATACTTTTTCATTAATCATTTTAATTTAAATAAATCGATATTTTTATTATTTCACTCTATCTCTTCTTTTTTCCTCATTAAATATTAAAGCTATAAACATTCATAATATTAAAACTATCACAATTCACCTCTACATTGATAAGCTTGCTTAGTAAAATTACTTCGTCCAATTCGTTGATGACATACGTTGCAAATCGTACCACTATAATATAATATTGAATTAATGATCTTTTTTAAATTTACTTAAGCAGGTAATAAGAGGAGAGAGAAAAGGAAGGCAAATAGAAATTAGATATAAATGTTATCATTATAATCATTATGTAGAGAGAAAAGAGAGGAAAATGGAAATTAGATATAAATATTACCATTGTAATCATTATCTAAATATAAACGTTATCATTGTAATCATTTATCAAATGTTTAACCTTCGACTTTTTACAGCAACAAATGTGTGATCATTGTAAACATGTAGCTTTTTTCCTTGTCGTAAAAGTTTTGTTGCACCTGGTTCATCTAATACTATATGTGGTATTTGATAATACCTAAAATTATAATAATTCATGACTCATCTTTTTATTCTTACAAATAATCCTTTGCTATTATTTGTAATTAATCTTATTTTGATATCATTTCTAATTATTATCATTTGATTGTAATACAATTTTTTTTTTGCTACTATAAATTATGATAATTTATAATTCATCTTTTTAATCATACAAATAATCTTTTGTTATTACCTGTAATTAATCTTATTTTGATATCATTTCTAATTATTATCATTCTATTGTTACAAAATCAAAATATAACATTTATATCTTTCAATTATAGTGTAACATAATCATTATCATTCGTTTATCCTGAAATTTATCATAATTATATCGAATTTGAAATGATACATTGATAAAAGAAATGATTTCTTTTATTTTGAAATCATAATAACTTACCTTTTTTGACCATTTTCATGTGTTTCAAGGAGTAATGTACTTTGTTTGTATAAACTTTTTGTAGACTGTTCCGATTTACCATCATATGATCGTAAATCATATCGGCTGCCCGATTTTTCTTCAATTCAAATTTTGCATTTATTTCAAATTTTTACAAAATTAATTATTAGCTTATCGTGGAATTTATCCGAATGATACTATGATCGAAGAGATAATTCTATGAATGATCATGATAAAATCAGTTATCAAAATTAATTTTGTTGATGATATTTACCAGAAAAACGTGTCCTTGAGATATCACGAGAAGGTGGTAATGAAACTGCTTCTTCCATTTCACCAACTTCAAGTTCACAACTTTTAGCACGTCGTTTAGAATGTCGACGTCCTCTTAATCGTTCACGTAATTCGCTGAAGAATGAACGATCACGTTTTCTGGTTGATCGTTCTTCATCATGCATCTTCAATTGACCTAAATAATTGTTTAATTCATATTAGGAATTCGTTTAAAATAATAGATTTTAGAATTCGTTTTAAAATAATAAAAATAATAAATTAAAATAATAAAAATTTTAATAAATAAATTTTTATGTTAATCGATTTTGAAGTAGCATTTATTTGATTAAAATGTTTTAGCATTTTTAACTAAAATAATAATTATCTTACTAAATTAAGAAAAGAAAACTAAATCAGTAGTCTTGACTAAATCAGTAGTAAAATTCACGAACACTAATAATTATAATTGTAGTAATGGAAAGAAAATGTAATTATTACAAATTAATTATTAATATAAACGAATTAATTATTAATATAAACGCAAATGTAAATGCAGCGGAAATATTTTGGATAAAACATAATGATTTAATTATTAATTATCATTATTTTTCTCTTCCTATGATTTAATAATAATAATAATTAATAATAATAATAATATTAATAGCAATAATAATAATAAATAATAATAATAATAACAATATTAATATTAATATTATGTAACTTGCATGTAATTATTTTATGTATTACTACTACCTCTAGATTGTCGTACTTCATTAACTTCTTTTGTTTGACTTTCATCTGGTTTAGTTATTATTAATTCTTCTGTTTCTTCCTTATCATACCTGCAATCATTCATTAAATGATCTATTTGATAATTTTTTTATCTGATATTTATTCGTGTTCTAATCTTTTTAATATTGTAATTTTGATTAACATTATTAATGTATTCAAAATTATCAATTTATAATCTTTTACCTATGATAAGGATAATTGTCGACATCTGTAGTATGGAGATCTTTAGTTCTGGTAGGAAGATACTGAGTACCAGAAGTAGTCCCCGTACTACTGCCAGGTATCACATGCTGCTGTATCTGGCTGGTTGTTGCAATACCAGGCTGGAATATTTTCTCAAAAATTATCGATCAAATAAATTATACACTATGTGTAATTAATTCAATATGAAATAGTCGAGTGGTACCTGTTGATATTGTTTTGCTTCACCAGTAACATGTTCATGTCGTCCATTCAGTACGGGCGATCGTTGCTGAATTATTGTATCATCTGAATGATACCGTTGTTGAATATCATCGGTATCAATTCGTTGTTTATGTGAATCATAAACCTAAAGAAAAAACTAAGCGAAATTCCGGATTACTTTAGCAATCCAGCAAAATATTGGATTGAAAGCATCATAATAATTCGCCATTTATTTCCACTAACAAATATTGTAACAGTCTTGGAGCCTTTCAAAATTAATTAATCAAAAAGATGCTACTAATGCACTAATGTCGCAGAATATCAAATTTCCGATTTCTTAATTTGAAATTTGAATTTCGTATACTTTTACATAATATAGCTTTAGATTTATCCTCGTAAAATTTCTCACATTTTTCTTCTGGAGATTATTATTATTACTATTATTGCAAACATATACCATAGGTGTTGTTGATGTTTGTTGTATTGTTGTAATTCCTGTTGTTCCTGTTAGAGGTTTAGTTTTGTCGCTTAATGATTGCTATAAAAATAATGCAATTATTTGTTTGTTTATTTATTTATGTTCAAACCTTTCTCTGTTTATTTGTTTATTTTCCAAAAGCTATTTCTTCTTGAAATATCAAATATATTTCATTCGATTAATTGCTTAAAATAAATTAATTATTACAGATCCTTGAACACTGAAAATTAATGCTAGATAGTGGAATGATGAAAATTACTAATATTATTTGACCGTTTCTTTCAAACTATCAAGTATATTTTATGCGATTATTTGGGTATTAAAATATTACATCAGACTGTCAATTATATTTTATGCGATTATTTGAGTATTAAATATTTCATCAAGTGATCGAATGTAACAACATGAAGTATTTCATCAACAATTACCTGTGGAACATTTTTTACGGTAACTGTTGTTGTTTTTGCTGATGTCATATCTTTATTATCATATGCACCAAAACTATCTATAAAATTAAAATTGTCTAACAATTCCTAATCAACAAAAATATCATTCAAATTTCAATAATGATTTCGCTATTATCGCAATGCATATTATATACAGAATGATGAAATCATTCCGGATGATATGATTGTCACTTTTAATAATCTAATTAAATAAATGATTAATATAGTGAATATTATTAATAATAAAGTAATGAAGTTTTATCTTTATTTTTTATTTTTTATTATGTAAACACAAAAAGTAAAAGTTAATATAATAACTTGTAAACAAAAAAATAGTAAACAAATTATAAATAATAAACAAAAAATTACCACGTGGACCATATATAGGCCTTTTTGTACTACTGCTTATTGGTTCACAAAATTGATTAAAATTATTTCGCATGACAGTTTCATCTTTATCTTTACCTGTTGAATTTCCCATTGGATCATAGTAGAAGTCGAACTGTAAAAAATAAAATAGCATTTCAACAAAATGATTCATTAATAAGGTAAATAATAGGAAATCTGGTAATAAATGAGGCAAAAATTATTGAACATTAAATCAATTATATCAGTTTTTTTTTTAATTAGCAAAGTATGGAATAATTAATTTTACCTGTACAATTAAATTACCCGTGATATTATCATTTCTATACGGTCGTCCTTGTAATTTTAAGTTATACGAAGTGTTAACATTGCATTGTCGCGCTTCTTCTAGACCAACAATTGCAAGCCCTAAGAATCGATCATTTTCACGTTCATTTTGTTCAGAATGTTTCACTTGTCCTTCATATATCTCAAATAGAATCTCCTCTGATGCTGGCGTTAAATCACTGCAAAAATTTTTTTTTGGTAAATATTAAAATTCTGATGGAATATTTTTACATATTTGGAATGAATGAAGGAGAAAAACAGTAATTGAATTCAAAGAAAACGATTTGATTTACCTTTTTCTTTTCTCACGTAACATCTTTGGAATGTCTCGTAAAATGAATAAGAAATTAAAATTTAGGCTTAAAATTTCTGACTAATTTCATCAATTTAAGTTTTGTCTAAGAAAATCAGAATTGATATGAAAATGATGAAAAAGTGAAATTCTTACAAATCAAATGACTGCTCGCAGTATGAACCGATATTTTGCAAAATAAATAAGAGTATTTGAGTTCTTAAAATTTTTGACTAATTTCAAACATATTTTACCAATTTCAGTTTTGTCTAGGAAAATCAGAATTGATATGAAAATGATGAAAAAGTGAAATTCTTACAAATCAAATGATTGCTCCCAACATGAACCGATATTAAATCCATGTTTTGTTTGAAATTTTTGAGCTGGTTCATCCATTTCCAGTATAACATAAGGTTGATTTACGGCTAAAAATAAATGAACTCTTTTAATTAATCATTTCTACATTATAATAAATTTATTCATTATTAATCCTGAAAAATTATTTCAAGGAAAATTTTTTGGAAAAAAGAGAAATTAAAGGTAAATTGTGAAAAAGTATAAAATTGTCAATTGACTGAAGATCAAAAGAAAAGGCAACAGGTAAGATTAAAGTTTTCCTTTCTGAAATTTTTTAATTAATTTCAAGTTTTCCAGTAAATTTTCTGCACAAAAAAAAAAAATTAAAAACAGCGCTGTTTGATTTGATTTGCGCCTATGTTTTTAGGCATTACTTTTTGTTTTTTCTTTTTCCGGAAACACTAATGGTTTTTTTCCGGAAACACCAATTATTTTATTTCTAACATATAGCTATACCTAAAACATAAATAAATTAATTAGGAAAAGAATAATTTTGAATTGTTTTTTTTTCGGTAAATGTAAAATAGATGAAAAATTACAACAATGATCACCGCCAAGTTGTTGCGCTCGAATAACCTTAACACGCATTTTATTCGACATTGCATGTGGTTTAGTGGCATAATTTGTTGGCTGTAATTAAGGTTTATGAATTTTAAAATTTTTTCACAAAATTGCAAAATTGTAGAAATTTCAAAAGTTTGCTTATTTTTCCCTTTTACTTCCCGCATACTTCAAATGGTAAAGTTTATACTTTGAAATTTTCTTTTTCATTTTTATATTTTCAATCAATGATCGAATATGAAAATGAAATATCTATTTGATAATAAATTTAAGTAATTCATAGAAATCATAATCAATAATCATAATCAATCATTAATCATAATCATAATCATAATCAATCATTTTTTTCCTTTATTTTCCAGTAAAAGAATGGAAAAAAAAGGGAAAAATGATAATTAAATTAATTACATAATTAATGAAAAGAAAAAATAATTTCTTTTTCTTTATTGAATTGTCAAATGATAATATATTGATAATATTCAAGAATACATCCATTCCAACCTATGGTATATTCTATATTATTGATCAAACTATTCATATATATACCGTTGTTGGTGTTTGATTCATTCGTTCCATCATTTCATGTGTTAGTGGTACTGTAGCCAAATTACCGGTACTATCGATCATACCTGATCCATTGGTCTTTGTTGTCATTACACGCGAAATTGTTGGGAATGTATTAGGTGATATTATATTAGTTGCCATTCTACCACATTGTCCACCGAATTCCGATAATGATACATTAGTAACGGCAGAAAGAAGGCATTTACGTATCATTTCATCTACCATCGTACTGGAAACCGCTTCACTCTATAAATCTATAGTATTAAATAAATAAAATGCGACTGTATAATAAACAAAAAATGGACACGATCATAAGAAATGATATCAACTCTTTAGTATCATTATCTTTAGTATCATATCAACTCTTTAGTATCAGTAATAATATCACACATAAATATCCGCCTCTACGATAAAAATATATGAACAGAAAGAAATACCGAAACAGGATCTCTGTTTATCAATTCTATATCTAATTCAGGTCGTCCACAAAAGCTTGCCATCATATAGATTTGATTAGCGATACATGCTAAGCGTAATTCTATCTGAAATAAATTTTTATAAATATATAATATTAAAGAATGAATTATTGATTGTTTGTTTGAATATTATAAATTTAATTATTTGTTCATTTCATTCTCTCGTTTCTTAAGAATAAAATAGTAAAATTTATTAGCAAACTTCGCCATATAAGTCGATAATTCTTGCATCGAAATTTGTAACTAACAATTGATCGGCCGTTCGTTGTGAACTCATCAGTTTCACATTTATTTCCGGTATATTAATTTTACCTTTTAAAATCTGCAAAATAAGTTACACATAGTTAACTATATTAATAAATAAAGAATCAAAACAAACAGGAGTAGTAAGTAAGAACCAATTATATAAAATTAAATTAAATTTAAAATTAAGCCAATTTAAACCAACCAGATGATTATTAGGTAATTGTTGATAACGAATATCAGTAATACGAGGCGCTTTTCTAACTGTCCTCTTATCGCTAAAACCTTCGAATAATACTTCAAATTTTCCCTGAAATTATAAATCAAATATTTGCTTCAATTAATAATATATTAATATTATTTTAAACTATATCTAAATTGTTTCAACAATATTGGAAATTACTACATTGCCATTCTAGTAAATAGCTGGTAATAAATGAGTTTGCTATAATTTATAAAACAAATTATAAATGACAAAATGGCCTAATTACATTTTATAAATGATACTATAAAACAAAATAACTGATAATAATTGAAAAATAATTAAGCAAAAAAAAAAACAATTAATATTAATGATTGAAATAAAATAAAGAAATAAATATATTTAATACAGGTGTGGAAATTTTTTTTGCAGCTTCATTCATAGCAATTATCCAAGCTTGAAGAATATCCGGTATACGATTCATATTACTGAATAACCATTCGATAATTCCATTTAACCAATCATTCGAATATTCATTGCTACTACTACTGCTGCTGCAATTTTAACAAATTAGAAAATTTATGTAATGCCTAAAATTTAACTTATTTAATTATAATTTTTTATAGCATCATCATATTGACAATAATTATAATTATGCATAGATTAACACCTAAAATATCACGACAATATTTCAATCAAATACTATTTTTGAAATGTATTTAAGAAATATGATACTACTAGACATAAATGAATATTAAAAAGAAAGAAATCTATTGATTAATTTCGGGTACCTTGGTGTAGTATGAGATTTTTTCATGGTATCATTTATCCCGGTGATTAATTCCGGTTGTGGTGCACCAACTTTAGTAAGCATAAAATAGCATAGTACGCCTACTATAAGCCAAGACACAATTAGCCATGTCAATCCATCCATGGTCTTTTTGTTTTTGATATTGCACTGCAATTAATTCCTTCTTCAATTATCAGTAATAATTGTAATTTAATTGTTCTCGAACAAGAAATATTTCGAATAGATTTTTAAACTAAAATTAATTCTTCTGTTTTATTATTATTATTATTAATTATAATTATAATTATTATTATTATTATTAATTATTACTATTATTTTCATACATTTTGAAGCAAATATTCGCAAATATATTGAAGTATCTATTCAATTAGGCTACAAAAACAATGGTAGATTGATTATAGAAATAGTAATAAAGCCACGATAAGAAATTGTAATAATGAATAATGATTGCACTATTTAACCTGTCTGATTGATTATTATGATTTTTCGTATTTCTTAATAAATATTATAATTTTTCGTATTTCTTAATAAATATTATGATCGTTCTTATTTCTTAATTTTATCAACATATATCGACTGAATCATTTTTACACATTATTCACTATTACAAAAAACTTCGCTTTCAAAATTTAACATTATCGATTATCATGACTAAGTATGTTAAGTGCAAATAATTTATTAAAATTTCAATCGTAAACATCCCACAAAAATCAACAGATTTAAATTCTGTCTAATTGCATTAAAGATTTCGGCATAGTTAACAATTATAAATTACATCGTTTTTATCATCATTTATGAAATTTCATTTTGGTACCTAAAAAAATTAAAATATGATATATATGTAGAGATAAGCATTTCTACTGATTATCAAATTTAATTATTCAAAGATTTACTTAAAACTAATATCATCATTTTTATTTCAAGTTTAAAATTTAATTTTAATATTTGGTAAAACATTTAAAAATACCAAAATTTTATATGTGCACATATCAATAATAGATATATACTTTGCACATCGTATGGAGCATTCATTTGTATCTAATTAATAACAGCAATGATAATAATTATTATTATTACTACTAATTAATAATTAACAAGAATAGTGGTAATAATAATTAGTGATAATATGATAATAACTGTAATAGTAGCAGTAATTAACAATAATAGCAATAATTAATAATGATAGCAGTAATAAATTGTAATAATAATAATAATGATAATATTAATAGTGATAATAATAATTATTATTAACAATAAGAATATGTATTTAATTAATAAAAGCAATGATAACTATTATTATTATTACTAGTAATTAATAATTAACAATAATATTAGTAATAATACTTAATGATAATATGATAATGATAACAGTAATAATAGCAATAATTAATAATGATAGCAGTAATGAATTATAATAATAATAATAATAATAGTAATAATAACTATAATTATTAGTAATAAGATTAATGATAATAATATTAATAATAATAATGATAATAAATGAACTAAATGATGAGTGAATGAATCATATAATTATCATATAATTAATAGAACTACTTGAAAGAATAATATAGTTGATAAGAATTAAGAATTTACAACATAATTAATAGTACTACAGGAAATTATATTTGAAAAGATAATATGGTTAATTAGAATTAAGAATTTAAAAAGTGCTATATTTAATTAGCGAAATGAACAACTAAAATTGAAATTTTTCAAAACGAAAAGTTATAATTCGTTGAAAATTGTTGGAAAGAATAATGATGAAAATTCTGTTGATGCATTATGTAATTCAAACTTTCACTAAGAAGTTCATACACAAACATTACAACATTTTTAAGCTTCAAAACTTACAGACACACACACACACACACACACAGACGCACACACATAAACATACACATACACATACACATACACATACACACACACATACATACACACATGTAGACCACACACACAAACATTCCGTTAACCATCTCTAACATATTCAATCAACATTTCGCCCCGATAAGCAATAAATACATGTAGTTTTTGGAGGTATTGAAGGATGAGAAAAAAAAAAGTATATTAAATTTAGAGATAAATTTTTAATTCAGAGAGAAACAGAAAAAAAATTTAATTCAGAGAAAAATAGAAAAAAATTGTCATTCAGAGATGAATGAAGAAAATTTTAATTCAGAGAAAAATAGTATTACGTAAAGAATGAAATGATTATATGTTGAGAAGGTGAAAAAGTAATAATATGAAATGATTGCATACTTTGTCGTCTATTTATTCGTCCAATTGATTCATTCAATAAATAATCATTCGCTTCCAATTCATCTTCTTCCTCCTCTTCCTTTTCCTCCTCTTCCTCCTCCTCCTTTTCCTCCTCCGCCTCCTTGTCCTCTTCCTCCTCCTCCTCCTCCTCTATTTTTTTATTCATCCTTTTTTCTTCATATCTATTTAATTTATCTTTTTTTTTAAAATCCATCATAACAACTATTCCTTTTCTTCATTTTACTTCCTCCTCCTCATCATCTACCATTGTTATTTTATTTCCTCATCCTCCTCCTCCTCATCCTCCTCTTCCTCCTCCTCATTCTCTATTTTTATTCATTCCTTTTCCTTCGTACCTATTCAATTTATCTTTCTTTTAAGGAATAAGATGAAGAAAAGGAATAGTTTACATACAACTATTCCTTTAGTAGGAATAGTTGTATGTAAACTATTCCTTTTCTTCATTTCACTTCCTCCTCCTCATCATCTACCATTGTTATTTTATTTCCTTTTCCTCCTTCTCCTCTTCCTCCTTCTCGAATTTTTATTCCTTCACATCTGTGTAATTTTTCCTTCTTTTTTTAATCCAACAATACAACTATTCCTTTTTCTTTATTTCACTTCCTCCTCCTCATCATCTACCATTGTTATTTTATTTCCTTTTCCTCCTCTTCCTTTATTTCCTTTTTCTTTTTGATTTCATTTGCTTCCTTTCTGCAAATTTTCAACAATTTAAAATAAATGAAAAAAAGACATGAAAAGTGGAAAGGAAAAGATTTCATTGAATGATAAAACTCTGACAGCAAAAATTCGAACATTAATCGATCATTCATTGTAACCTTTTCAGCTCAATCAATTTCTTTTCAATAATACTTATATTTTAAAATTCATTCAATAATTATTAATTAGATTAATTAACGAATGATTATCTTTTTTAATTAATTAATAACATTAATAATTATTAATTTTTTGTGAAATATTTAGCAAATGATTATTAATTAATAATTATTGAATGAATTTTAAAATTATGCATTTTTGAAAAAATTATTATGAAATATTTGACAATTGATTGTTTATTAATAATTATTTAATTAATTTTAAAATTATGTATTTTTAAAAAAAAGTTGATTAATATGAATTATTTAACAAACGATTATTAATTAATAATTATTGAATGAATTTTAAAATTATGTATTTTTGAAAAAAATTAATTATTATGAAATATTTGACAAATGAATATTAATTAATAATTATCTAATTAATTTTAAAATTATGTATTTTTAAAGAAAGAATGATAAAATGAAATATTTGACAAATGTTTGTATAAACATTATTATTTCCCTTCCTTTTTCGTTTTTTTTGTTCTTACTAATAAAAATTTAAAAGAAATTTTTTTTGTATAAAAAATTTTTTGGGAACTCATCTTTTAATAATAGTAATTAATTAATTAATTATTAGTTTTTTTAACTGCAAAATAATTATGAAAGGATTGTGATCATTCAACTGCTTCTTTTTTAAAAAGTTTATTTTTTGAAATTTGAAAATTTTTTTAAGAAGTTTATTTTTTATGAAATTTAAAAAATTTTTTTAAAAAGTTTATTTTTTTGAAATTTAAAAATTTTTTTGTAAAAGTTTACTTTTAAAATTTTTGATATTACAATGATAATATATGATGCAGCATAAATTGCAATCTAATGATTAATGATGATATATGTGTTAATCATTATCATTATCGTCATCATCCAAAGACATCTTCATCATCATCATCATCATCATCATCCATAGGCATCTTCATCATCATCCAAATGCATCTTCAATATTACATTTCAATACTACCGTACATTCCATACTCTATCTCTGATTCAACAATTTATTTCCCTCTGTCTCTCTCACCTTCTTTTTCTTTTTATTTCTCTCTCTTTCTCTCTGTATCTCTCTTTCTGTTTCTTTCACTTTTTAATATTCTTTTAATAATTCAGAATTCTCAGGCATAGCTTTGTTTATTATTTCATATAATTAATTGATAATCATGAAATTATAGTAATTTTTATTATTATGAAATATATGACAAATGCTTGTAATTATTTTTTCTTTCTATTCTGCTAAATTTCATAAGAATTTGCAAATTCCTAAAATAATTTTTTGAATATTTTTTAATTTATATTTATATATATATATATTTTCGGTTAATTTAGAAATTGCAGATATATTTTTTTTACTTAATTATTTTTAAATACAAATGTAAATATAAATATAAATAAGTATAATGTATGCATATATATAGTTCCTAAATTAATATATATAATTCTTTATCAAATTACTAAATTAATTTTTTCAATATTTTCTATTTTTGAAATTACTTTTTAATATAAATATAAATATGAATAAATATATGTAATTCCTAAATTAATAAAAAACTATATACCTATAATATATAATTCCTAAATTAAAAAACTTTATATACATATAATTCCTAAATTAATAAAAAAACTATATATATCGTATATATAATTCCTAAAATAATAAACTATATATATATAATATATAATTCCTAAAATAATAAAAAACTATATATATATATAATTCCTAATCAAATTCCTACAGAATTTCAACATTGTTTGAAAATGTGTTAGAATCATCAATTACAGTGTTGTGATGTCACAATGAGAATTAAATGGAAAAATGGCATGAATTAAAATGTTGGAACATTTTTCAAATTCATGAAACATTTTGGGGAGGCACATACACACACACACACACACACACACCCACGTATACAAGTATACCCTTGAAATGATAATGATAATAATAGACAAATAACCTTTATCATTAATTGTTGAAATTTGGTTTAATGAAAGATATATTGAACCATAGATGTTATCAACAAATTCTATCACGTTTCCTCTCAAAAAAATAGGAAGCAAACGGAGAAGAAAAGAAAGACAAAGCATTTTGCATTTGATGATAATTATGATAATCGTATCATTCCTCTGATAATCATTATTTACTCCGATAATTATTATTTTCTATGGTAATCATTAATTTCTTTGCTAGTCATTATTTTCTACGATAATCATTATTATCCTTGATAATCGATATTTCTTTTAATAATCATTATATCTTTTGATAATCATTATATCCTTTTATAATCATTATTTCTTTTGATAATCATAATTTTCTTTAATAACCAATATTTCCTTCAATGATCATTATTTCCTTTGATAACCCCATTATTCTCTTTGATAATCATTACTTTTCGATACTCATTATTCCCTTTCATAATCAATATATCTTTTGATAATCATAACATCCTTAATTAACAACCATTACATAATGATCACTATTTCCTTTGATAATCATCATTTCATTAATTTTTACCATTCTAATATTCATAAACAACTAAAATATATCGTGCAAAATCAAGAATTATTATTTTCATTTATCTAAAAAACAAAGGGCAATAAATGAGTAAGCAAAATGTGATGACAAATTAGTTTGTTTTATTTTTTTCGTTCGTTTAAACAAAATAACATTAGGATATTTTAGTCGGTGAAGTGAAGTGAAGTTGAAATGAAATTGAAATGTTCATCGTTTGTTACAGCAAATATTGCAAAAAAAACAAAAGAAGAAAAGGAAAATAATTAAGAGAGAATTTTTAAACTGTAATTTATTTATATATAGTTAAGAATGAAAAGAAAAGAAAGAGAAATTTATTTATATATAGTTGAGAATGAAAAGAAAGAACGATAAATTTAATGGTATATAGTTAAGAGTGAAAAGAAAAAAAGAAACGATAAATTTAATTATGTATAGTTAAGAGTGAAAAAAAAAACGATTAATTTAACTATATATAGTTAAGAGTGAGAAGAAAAAAGATAAATTTATTAATATATAGTTAAGAGTGAAAAGAAAAAAAGAAACGATAAATTTAATTATATATAGTTAAGAGTGAGAAGAAAAAGGTAGATTTAATTACAAATAGTTAAGAGTGAGAAAGAAAAAAAAACGACAAATTTATTTATACATAGTTAAGAGTGAAAGGAAAAAAAGATAAATTTAAATGTAAAAATTTGATTGTTTGATCAAACTTATATGCAAAAAAAAAAACCATAGTTCATAGGTCAATTAAATTTTTTATCCATAATTTTTATCCATATATGTTAAAATTTAAAATTAATTAAAACATATTAATTGAAATATATTATTTACTTAAATATATCTGAATATATCTGGTGATAATAATGTTATGATAAGAAAGCGGTGAAATTTTATAAGAATGAAATTTTTATCAAATTGAAAATATGTCAAAACATTAAATTGGTAGTAAACAAATTTTTGCCGTAATATCATTTGTCATTTTACAAATTTTCGTCAATCTTTCTAAAAGCATAATTTATTATTGAAATATATTTAAATGATCGAAATTTAAATTAAGCAAATTTTAAATGACATAAATTTTTGGATGAAATAACAATTTAAAATGATTTCATAAATCAAAGAATTAATAAAAGATTAATTAAAACAAATTACTGTACATAAATGATAGCTAATTAATATTTTAGGGTTATATGATAGCTAATTAATATTTTAGAACTATAAGAAATATAGTAACAAATATATAGGAAGATATTTATGATAAGAAATATAATATCAATTAAACTATAAAAAAAATATAACATCAATAGAATTAATTAAATTAATTCATTTTGATGATAATTAATTTAAAAAGTTTTTTGACAGTGTTTTTTAATTTTACATCGCAAATATTTGATAAACAAAATATTTAAAGATAGCAGTAAACAATAATAACAGCAACAAATTGAAATATTATGATGTGGCAAATTTTCAACATTTATGATATGCTATTTATAACTTATACGATATCAATCATAATGGAAGTGAATGGGAAAAAGTAACATCACAATTTTTAATTTGTTAGCAATGATAGCATTAAATAGAAAGTGATTGTATAAGTACTTTAATATGAATTAAATTAAATTAAATTAATTATGACTAATTACACCTGCAACAAAGAAAGAAATTTATTTGGATATCATAACATCAAGTAAAAATGATAGAATCATAGTATCACATTAACGAAAATTAAATTAATTCATTTAGACAAATTTCTTCTGTGAATAATATAATTGAATTTAATATGTAATTTATTACTGAAATAGTTTTGAATTGCATTTCAAAAAAGATATTAATGGAATAATTTTGGCATAAGAGTATTAAGTAATTAATAAAATTCCTAAATTATCTCACTAATTTATGCAGCATTTCACCTTTATATTTATTGTAATTATATATATATCAGAAAATTGTAATTATATATCAAAAATTCTTTGATTAAAATTAACTTTAATTAACACTATTTAATTAACACTCATCAAATGGTATTAAGAAAATGATCGTTAATAATTTCAAATTTGATATCAAATGATTAAAAGAAAATGGTCTTTTATAATTGCGAATTTTAATTATTTGATTTATTTACTTAATCAATAAATAATTAATAATGAATATTTTAGGGAAAGAAAAAATATATCAAATATTATGAATAGGAAAATATTTATGATAATAAATATAATGCCAATAAAATCAATTAAATTAATTTATTTTGATAAACTTCTTCTATCAATCAATAATTGATCAAATAATTACAAGAAAATGTCTTTTAATAATTTCGACTTGATTTATTTTTTTAACAAATTGATTTATTTACTTAACCAATAAATAATTAATAATTAATATTTTAGGAGCGGAAAAAATTTATATAAAATATTATAAATAGGAAAATATTTATGATAAGAAATATGCTATCAATAAAATCAATTCACTCTGACAAACTTCTTCTATCAATCAATAATTGATTTTGATAACAAAAATTTAAAAAAAAGTATTTCGAAAAAGAATGGAACTAAAAAAGGAATAGAAAGAAAATGATAAAATGTGATTAGAAAAGAAAAGTGTAATGAACTGAAAAAAATAGTGATAAATTCTGGTTCTTCTTAAAATAGTAATTAGCGAAAGCAATAACAACATTACAGTAACAGTTGAAATTTACAAAAACTATTTTAACAATAAAAATAAATTATTCATCTTCTGCTTGTAAACAATACTTGTAAACAACAACAAACTATTTTAACAGTAAGAATAAATTATTCATCTTCTATTTGTAAACAATACTTGTAAACAACATCTACGTGTAAACAACAACAATACATATTATATAAGTTCATAAATTGGAAATCGTAAAAATTATTCATCATATTGCAATGTTTAGTTCTGTATCATAACGTTTTATGATTTGGTTGCTTGTTATTAAATATTAAATTTTTCCTAAAAAAAAAAGTAACCACATCAGCTGTTCACTAATTAAATATCAAAATGGATAATAAATCAATTCAGTCAAATGCAATTGACTAATATCTGTGATAATGTTTTCTTAACTTATTTCTAATAATATCGACCTTTTATTTTTATTTCTTAATTGCTTAATACTGTATTTCCAATCTTCAGTTATTTAACGTATGCCATATTATGACTAATTTAACTTCCATAAATAAATTATATTTGATATTTGAATTCAGGTACTTAAACATTTACGTATTTAAACGACAATCATTTCTTACCAGTCATTACAAAGGATTAAAGAGGTGAGACGTGTAAATTTGCATCATGACTACAGTGAGATGTTGTTCGGCCTTCTTTTATTTAACTCATTGAAAATTCATTGAAGGCTGTTTGTGAGTGGACGAGCATAGCTTTGGGGAAATGTTAGTTGAGTGTTGCCTCGTTAAATAGTTTTGTTTTCCGCTTATTTTAGAGCTGATTTATTTTGCGATTTATTTATTTACTTGAAAATGCATTTTTTTTTTCTTTGTTTATTTGTTTATTTACTAAATTGTTTATTTTTTTAATTACTTATGCACTCCATTAGTTGTTTACTTTATTTGTTTATTTTGTTTTTTTTTTCCTCTTTTATTCACATATATTTTCCTTCATTTCTGTTACAGAATGCTTTACATTTTTTTTGACTGTTTTCATCAGGATTAAATTACCGTAGTTAATATGAAGTATCAAATAGCACAACGCATATAGTTGGAAAATGTAGTGCTCTTTGTTCAACTTATATAGATTGTATGATTATTTGAAAGTCAGACATTAATATAGCTTAGATAACTTCTCCTTGCTTAGATGATAATTTCTTTATGCTTAATAAAACGTTTAAATTTGCACGGCATTGCTATTGTCATTTCAATTGAAATGAATTATGATCAGAATTGAACCTTAATTTTTTCTGCTGGAAAGCAATTATGATGCTACTAATGATGTCATTGCTAACTACAGAAATAACTATTACTGATTTCAAATTGAAATAAAATATGTTATTCGAAGTAATAATTTGCAATGAATTATTCTATGTTGACTTGTGGTATCACGATTATTCGATAAGCAAAAGCAAAAATGTCAATAAGACGAGCAAACCAAAGTGAATGAGAAAAAAGAAAGATTAGAAAAAAGTGAAATAATAACACCGTCAATACCGGATCCATTACAAACAGCGCTGGAAAATTTACCTTTAATACATAATGCGGATGATAAGAGTTTACAACAAGCTACCATCAATGGTAATCTTTCCCTTTATTTTGTACTTAATTAAATTTTTTAATTAATAATCTGATTAAATAATCCGATTCCTTTTTTCTTTGAAATTTCATTTGAATTTTTGTTTATTTCATTTTTCATGGTAACATTTAGAAAAATTAAATTTTTTCATCCTACAAAAAATACTGTTGATTTTATTGCCATATAATTTGCTCGTTTTTTCCTATTCATTTTTTCATTTGTTTTAAATTTAGGCTTAATTATATTTTCACTAATCTGTTTATTCAATAATATTAAAACACCTACTTCTGTTATCATTTGATTTTAATTCAAATATCATTTTTATCATAATAATTTCAGTTCCTCTTTTTTTTTGTTTTTCATTTATCATTCCATCATTGCTTTTTTGTTATTTTTCATTTTATTATTAAATTTATTTAGGTTCATTTTGTTTATTCTTTTTTGCTTTCACTTATTAAAATATCATTCTTGTCATTAAAAGATTTAAATTTAAATTTTTTCAACAAACAGACACAACAAATATTTTTTCAACAGCAAAAGCAAATTAGTTTTTCCTCCATTTTTACCCTCATCAATTTCAAATTCTAAATTTTAGCTATAGTTGTGGTTTATTTATTTGCTTTTGTTTCATTTCTCCTCATTCGCTGATGGTGGTTGTCTGCTATTTTTATCCTCCTTTATTACCTGTTTTTTTTAAAACGATATATAGCTATCGCTGTATGTTTTTTTGTGTTTCACAAAGTAATATTTCTTTCTTACAAACGATAGCCACATTTCTTCAAAAAATATTTATAACAGAAACGGCAAAATCATATCGTAGAATGAATTGTCGCTATGAAAGTTGAAAGAAAATAGCGGCATACAAGATAAATGTTAGAATAAAGCTAACATATGAGTGAATTGATGCTTTGAGAATTTCTAAGCGAAATTTCTGCTATAATGCTTTTTAGCTTTACAACTTCAATTTTTATTATTAATAGAATACGAAATAAAACAAAATAAAATACGGTGTAATAAATTTTGATAAAATAATATTCATTGAATTTTGAATTCCTCTCATATCCTAATCATATCGTTAAAATTTCATCGTTTTTCCTATTCGATGCATTACACTCATTTGAAAAATGTAAAAACGATATCGGTGATTGTTTACCGATATTGATAAACATTCATCGATATTGTTTTACATTTTTCATGACATACAGTTAGATATACTGTGGATCTTACAAGCAACATATCGAAATATCGCTTTACAATAAATTGCTGCAAATAAAAATCAGTGGTATTTTATTAAATAGTATTAGATACTGGAGAATTAACTATTAAGTGTTGAGGAATGAAACACTCGAATAAGTATTGATTAAAAAACTAATTGGTGGATAATGAGAGTAGATCATGAGAGTTATCTTAATAGTTAGTTATTCTTAGTTTCCATCTAATTTTAATACTTGAATAGTAAAACTTTAAAACTTTCCACTAAATGTTAAAATTTGCTTATTCAAAAGATCTAATGAGCATGAAAGTGAAATAATTATGTATTCAATATCATTTCCAAAATTTCTATTTAATTATTTTATGATTTCTTCTACTTTTTCCGTTTCTTTTTCTTTTTTATTATTTTTTTTGCAGCGGAAAGTAACGATACGGAGGAAAAGGTATCATTCAAACGAGGCCATCGTCGTCTTTCCTCATATGAATCGGTACAGATTCAATTGACGCATCATCCGCGATCCCCAAAATTTCATCGCAATATCCGTTGGATAAATAACAATTCCTTAACTACATCGGGTTCTTTTATGAAGTGATTATTTTGCTAACCTTATTTTTATCTCTCAGCAAACTTGTTCTCATAGCTATCGATTAGGTTTTGTATCCGGTTTATTCTTTGTTATTATTTCTGTCTCTCTAGATTTTAACATAGTTAAAAAAGACGAGAGCTTATTATTAAAAATTTATGGATCATCCGCTCATTCACTTTATTTGACCATTATTAAAGCAACTTCAATGGAAATCAAATTCCTCTCATATTTTGTTTACAATAAAAAGAATCGGAAAAGAAAGAAGTGTTCACCCTCTTTGTATCATTTCCTTTCTCCGTTATTCAAACTGGTTATTTAATATGATTTTGAACGCAACGACTTCGTGCATCAGTAGCATTCTGCCTTTTCCTTTTTCTTATTCTGCCTTCTCCTTATACAGCTTATTATTTCATCCTTTTATATTATTTGTCCTCTAAACAAAATCCAAATTTGAATATTCAATTCACTTCTCTCTTTCATTTTATTCACATTTAAAAGATAATATATAATTATTTAATATTTTTATTAATCGAGAAAATTTTTGTACAATCATCCATTTTTTATAATTGGTTGTAGATTACAATCACGGCTATTATCAAAAATGAGGAAATCACCGTCATCCTCTTTCGATTCCAGCCATTTTTCACGCTCAATTTCTTTCAAAGATTATAATAATGTAGAAGGAGTTTGTAATCAACGTTCTGATAATTCATCACTTGCTAGTTCAATGACTGTTACTGCTAATGGTGTTATAACAACTACAACTTCAGCTACTACTGCCACAGCTCATGATTCTGCAATCGGTAAACGTATTGTACGCTATAATGTTTCTTTATATATCTTGAATTTTTTAAAACTTTCAGTATCTTAAAGTTCTGAGGGATTTCAAAAGGAAGTGTAATTTATTTACGGTATTTTCTCAAAAATTCTGTCTGGGACGTTTTATTGTCATACTGTGCCTACAAAGATTAAATGATGTTAGAGTTAATTCAAATGATATAAATTCATTGAGATAATTATCTGGTAAAAAGTAGATTGTAATAATTTGTTCTTACAAACGAATGAATTAATCAAAATAGCAATAAGGATTTAGTTCGGAATTTACATTGAAATCCCATAACACAACTTCTAATGAACGGGATTGCATCGGATAAGTGTTGATTCCTATAATCGGTTATAAAGCATTTTCAAATACAACTTAACAAACTTGTAAAGTGGTTAAAGGTGAGTCGTTGAGTTCGAAATGGAGTTCATTGGACCGTCGTAGTGAATTATCGGCTGGGATCACCCGTGACGATGAAGTTGATAGCATTGATGATGAAGATAGAAATAGCGATGACGGCGTTAATGTGGACACCATGGTTGATGATAAGATGCGGAAGCGAAGTAAAAAGGGTGGACGGAATGCATTTTCACTGTTGTCCAATAGCTTTGCAAGGTATGTTCTTCACAAGATGAGTCAACCATGAAGGATAAACTGGAAGCACCTTGGAAAAGGTGTTAGCGATCCCTTGATTGAAAATTAAAATGTAGGTCTAACTCACATATATTTCCTAAATTTTTAGCAAATTTTATACCACAATTAAAGGATCACATTTGATTATCTGTTGTACTTTCCAGATTAACTTTTTTAGAAAATTATTTTCCCGTAATAAACAACAAGAGCATCAACGCACAAGTTCTTGGCGAATATTTGGAAGTAAGCAGTGGAAAAGTAATGATCGAGGAATAAATGCTTCTACATCAACTGATGCATCGTGCAGTTCTGTAACTGATGATATATGCTGCTCTACTACCGGTTTGATTCTGGAAGATAGGCCAAGGTCTGCCAGATATTGACTGAAATTGAATTTTTCACTGAGTTTCAAATTTGTACTGTGAAGTCTGGTTTACGTTCCATTAGACATTCATACCCGATTGCTTATTGTATGATATCTTTTAATAGTAGATGAACTATGTGCAAAAAATGACTACATGACTATGTGTAGTTTTTCAAGCTAGCTTGATTGTCGGCAGTCAATTACTGGTAATAACCCATTAGCGCTGTTAATAGCTCAAACTGATTTAACTTTACCTGGCCATAAGATGCTATTCCTAGGACCTGTTTAATGGTTCCCAATTAACGTTCTTCGTGCTGTCCACTCATTAGCAATAGTTGATCATAACTGAAATTTTTAATGATTTAGGTAAAGATTTCGATAAGAAATGTTGGGAGTTAATTAAATTCGGAATTCCTCTTTTATTGTAGTACCCTACCAGCGAAATCAGTAGCAGAACAACGGCGTCATGAAGCGCAATATTTGGCACTTATCGAAGCAACTAAACGTCAGGAGGCTAAACGTTTACGTCAACGACAGCAACTGTTGGAAATAAAGCGAAAAGAGGAGGATGAAACGGCTGCCGCGGCTGAAATGTGGTGCAATCGAATTTTACCTAGCTGGGAAAATATGTACGTTATTTAACTACTTTATTTAATATAAGCCCGGCGTTTTGTGAGGTTTGATTTCTTTATTCATTTAAAGACATGAATTTTCTGAAGTGACGAACTCCTTTTTCTGTTCTAAATTTAATTTTACTAAGCATTACTTTGAGTTTTTTTTTGGATGATTTCTTTTAAATTCATGCCATTTGCTCAAATGTGAACAACACCTAAGTCATTAAAATGTTCGCATGTGAAGATAATTCAGTTACTAGTACTTCAATTGAACCTTGATGCTTAGGAATTAACTAATGCTTATGTTTCTTCTATGAATTACTTTTGAAGGGAATTGACGTCTTAAGTAATTCATTTCCTCCTTTTCGAGCTGGAAAACTTGTTGATGTAATAAATGACAGTTGGAATTGAAGTCATATATGTAATGCTGAATTTTTAAGAAATATGGCTTATTCTTTAAAATATTGCAAGCTTTTAACATAAGCACAACCTCGATATTATTCATGCCGTTTTGCTTAATTCACATGAATACTATTTCACTAGTTTCTTCCAATACGTCACTGGTTTGCAGGTTCATGTTTAAAGGTCCGAAAATCCTTGGTTACATCACTTTAATATATGCCTTATTTGCTTTCAGGAAAGATAGCAAACATTGTCGTGACTTATGGTGGCGTGGTATACCCTCAAAAGCACGTGGCCATGTTTGGTCCCTGGCTATCGGCAATGAGTTAAATTTAACACCGGGTGAGAGCCATTTATGGAATTTATTATTTATAGTGCTTGCTAGCAGGATGTAAACCAAATTCGAACTTGTATTTCGTTGCATGATTAATTTTACAGAATTATACGAAATCTGTGTTACTCGAGCAAGACAACATGCTTTTGCTACAACTATAATAGAACAGTGTGATGCTGATAGTTCCTCAGTTACTGGCTTTATAGGTGTCGATCAGCAACTATTCATTCCATCTATTTTTCCAAAAGGTTCTAAATTTCTTTGAATCCATTTTTGCATCTTGATAATTTATAAAGAGATATTAAGTAATCAGTTTTTAGCAAACTGTGGTATGGAAAGACCAATAGGACGTGAAAGTACGCTTGAGCTGATTCATTTGGATGTTTCTCGAACCTTCCCACATTTGGGTTTTTTCCAGAAGGTATTTTTTTTTGGTTTGAGAGCGTCTCAAAACTTGTGATGCTGACAAAATACATTAAAATGTGATAAAACAATTTCAGTTTTATTTATGTCTGATCTGAACTTAGTTTCTTATCTTTTGTATAATTTACCGATGACGGTAACTGTAGCTGCATTTGATAAAAAGATAACCAAGAATATATTATCACATTCATGGGATTGTTGGTTTAATGTAAATTTTGTAGGGTGGACCATATGAAGAGTTGCTTTTGGATTTGTTAGGTGCTTATGTATGCTACCGTCCGGATATTGGTTATGTGCAGTCGATGTGCTTTCTTGGCGCCATGATTCTTCTTCAAATACATCAGTCATATCAGTCGTTTCAGGCATTTGCCAATTTACTTAATCGACCACTGATGGTACTTTTACTTCTTTGTGAACCGTTTATAACGGAAATCTGAGCGTTCTGATTTTTTATGTTATGCGCCATCAAATGCCATCTGCTTATCCATATTGGCTTGCAGTCACAATTCATTGGCTATCCAAAAAGAACTTCGTTTATTAGAACTAAGTTTTTTTCACGAATATCTTACCTAAAAAATGTCTTTTATTAAAGAAAAATTCTTTCAAGCTGGCATTTTTTGGATTGCGACAACCTCAAATGACAGTCTATTTCATTGCATATGATCAATATTTCGAGCAGGAATTACCTAAGCTCCATCATCATTTTGATGTACTGGATGTTCGTCCCGACATGTATCTGATTGAATGATAAGTTATTATTTCTTATTAATTCCAAATCTTTGATTCCTGGTTGAGCGTTCAATTTTCTATTTTTAAAATCATTTTTCGGATTTTCTTAATATCGGCAGTGAATTGGTTTGGAATGCGGATTACTAGTCAGCAGTTTTTTCAGGATATATACACTTTATGCAAAATCATTACCATTTGATGTTTGTTGTCGTGTTTGGGATGTGTTTTTGCGGGATGGTGAACAGTTTGTATTTAATACTGCTCTCGGTTAATTGTTTATTTTTGTTCAGTGCATTAATCTTGTTGTTAAACATTACTAGTAATTCTATCATTTTTAATCAATTTAATACCCTCAAAAATTTTCTTAAATCTTTTCCAATTTATAACATTTTTCCTTCCACTACCGCCAATTCTTTATACTTTGCACATTCTCCATCATTTAATTATTCATGCTGCAAACACAGATGAAGGAAATTATTTATTCTTTCTGACAGTTATTGCATATTTTTATTTGATTGCTAACCCGTAGAGTTGTTTTGTTTTCAATATAAAAACTAGGGTTGAGCAGTTCATAAATATTTATATGTAATATATTTAAATTTGTAACAAACTAAACATACTTTGGTGATAATGCAGGTATCATGCATTTATATGAGTATGAGCTGGAAAATATGAACGACTTTGATGCTGTAGTCCATTTCCTTACGCATTTGCCGGAATCTATAAATGTTAATCAACTATTTGATGCTATTGAACCTTTCATAAAATCTTGCGGTTCAACTTCGGAGCATGGGAATGGAAAAAAGCGTACTTTTCAACAGGTATAATGATTTTGAGAGGTCACAGCGATGTTTTTATTTCTCATTAGCGATAATGCTCAACTACATATCCATTGAACTTTTAATTTCATGGACTCTTTGGAAGTGGTCATTTCATTTCATTATCTCAGTTTTTATGAAAACTGTACTGCTTCTGGAGCCATAAAATTGAATATGAGACTAATTTTTTTTTTCTCGATTGTGAAGTACTAATTAAGCGAATTTGATGTATTTAATTGCAGATTCATTCAGATGTCAGTGAACGCATAGCTCAAGCGGCTGTAATGGCCGATAGTAGCGGGAAATCTGGTTTGTTTTCACCCTCGATGGATACATTATGTCGAAATAGAGAGCCTTCTGTCCGTAAGCTCTATGTTTTGCTTTTCCAGTTTTACCAGTCTGTTGAATTGTTTGTTAAATAATCTCATGATTAGTGCTTAAATATCCCAATATTACTTCTTTTCATTAATTTATTTTACTGAGTTTAGTGAGCAAATAAGGAAATAATGTTGGCTCTTTTGACTGTTGTTACTTGTATCTTAGGGTTGATTAGCTAAAATCCAAATTAATTTTTGTGTGAGGCAAATTGACCTAATTGATTTCTTGGAAACATTTATCCATTGTCTATATAATAATATACAGGAGATTGTGGAGGAGAATCATGCAAATCTTTCGCGACAAACGACACAGCTTTATATAATGCTGGCGAGCAGCAAGCGGAAACTCTACGTTTAAATCTATGCAACATGAAAATGAGTAAAAGCTTGAGCGAATTCGTAGGTAATTAATTTTTAGCTTTTGTTCGAATTTTCAAGTTTATTACCTTTCATTCATCATACGTTTTAAATCTTCACTGCCACTTTATTTCATTCTCATCCGTTATATTTTTAGTGTCAAGAGGAAGACTTTTGAAATCTCGGAAATTTTGTCCTTTCAATATTCTTAAATAAATTAATAATACAGCTTACAAGATGTGCAAGATTAAGTTTTTATCTTCATACTCTTATCTTGCTCCCTCATCATTTTTACATTACTTTACAATGACAATTTAAGGTAGTAAGTCTTATTCCATTATGCAGTGTTGGTTTACGTCAATGATGCTGGGAGCTGCTAAAGCAGCATACAGCAAGGAATAAACATCAAAAAATTGAAATCTTCAAAATTTTAGTAAAATACAATTTCGATTTTTGATTTAAAATTTAGATAAACAAGCGGAATATGTTTATATAATGTATAAGTTATTTGTTTATGGTAAAATAAATTGTTGCAGATGATTTCCTACGAGGCTCATCTACAAGGAAAGACGATGTACATGCTGATGTTTATCCGAAGAGTAGAGCGCCTACTGCTGTTTAAATTGCTCGGAAGTCGTTGGTCATTAATATATGATTTTTGTAAATTTTTTTAGAAGGGGATGAATTTTGGGAACTTTCTGGAAGGAGAATGTATATAAATAAGGAATGCTTAAAAATCGATTCATGAAGCCTAGCCAATTATCAAATCGGGTGCCTAAAGAGAGAGCAAGAGAGAAAAGAAGCGATGAAGCGTGTTTCATTGCCCTATTCAATTATTACTAAGAGCAGTTGTGAGTGGTGTATATTGTTTTAATTAAATCATATTATTTATTGGATAGTTTCTAAGTTTGTTTACGGATACTTTTACTACATTCTTTTCTCTCTCTTTCTTTCTAAACAAATTTGACGAGTATTGTTTCTACAATTTGTATTGACATGTTTTATTTTACAATGATGTCGGTCATGAGAAATGTCATGATCGTTCTCTCTGTACCAAATAGTATTTATTTCTATATTAAAATAACTCTGTAATAGATATAACAAGTTTGTCTATCATTGATGCTACTTAAAATTTCCAAGAAATATAAATTGTTATCAATATAATTGCTCATCGTTGTTGATGTTTTGTATTGGTTTTCATGTTAATATTGATTAGTAACAGCGATTAAAATATTTGTATTGAATTGTTTTTATGACATATAGTGCAATAGAGATGATACTATGGATGCAATGGAATTTTTGTTTTTTGCTACATGTTTAGAAATGTTATATGACGTATATAATGTGACAGGTTTTTGTTTTTTCACACATTAATATATAACCTAAGATTAAAATGTTGCATGGAAAATATAATGCTTAATTATAATGGACGATTATTTTTCAATCAAAATAAATTATTCGTTGAATTTACTTTTTCTATTTCAAACTTTTTCGATAGAAAGAAATAATTATTAATTATTATTATGGAAATAATTTAATTAGAAATAATTTTTAATTATTTGTAATTATAACCTTTTTTTTTGAATTCAAAAAATATATTTAATGAATTAATTACTCGCTATAGTGCATTAAAGTTGGTATTTATATTTCATATTTCGTTAACAAATTTTAAATGTAAATTCAAATAAATGTTATTGATTTGTAATGATATTGTCATTTACAAAACAATCTGATAAGATTTAGCTATGCTCATTGATCAAGTGAAAAGTTCAATTAATCGAAAACACTGGGTTGAAAAATGAAAATGTAAAAGAAATGCAAGTTCCAGCAAAAGGTAAATCATATTTCATGTTAATTTTCGATATGTTTTCTTTAATAATAGCTTTAGTAGTAGTGTCGCAATATTGTCGAAACTTTGTCCTCAGTTAATAATAAAAGCACAGGTAGCAGTTATTTAAGCAAGAAAATTGCTTAATGAATTATTATTTTCTATTAGTATAATTTAACATTGAGTAATTACATTCAATACTGTTATTGTTTTTGAAAATATATCACTTTCTTTTTCTTTTTCAAAAATTATTTTCACAATTTATTTAATTATTCATTCCAGTGGATATTACAAATTACATTATATTTTATAATATTGTTTAATTCATATAATATTGTTTATTCGTTCCACTGCATATTACAAATCATCTAGTATTATATAATATTGTTTAAATCATATAATATTGTTTATTCATTCCACTGCATATTACAGATCATCTAATATTTCATATTACAGATCATCTAATATAATATTTAAATCATATAAATCATATAGTATTATATAATATTTAAATCATATAAATCACATAATATTGTTTATTCATTCCACTGCATATTACAAATCATATAATATTGTTTATTCATTCCACTGCATATTACAAATCATATAATATTGTTTATTCATTCCACTGCATATTACAAATCATATAATATTGTTTAAACAATTCTTTTCAATTAATCTTTTTTTGAATGTGAACATCTTACAAAATTACCTGCTATATGTGATATGCTATGTTTCTATCATATAATTTATAATTTTATCACATTTTATGGATTATCACAATTATACAAACTGATATGAATATTTTTCAATTATTAAAACTTTTAGTAATTTACTTTAAAATTTTATCTGTAAATTAAAGAAATTCTATTTAAATGTCAAAATATTAAGTTAGTCTTAAATTAGACTAAGATTAGATTAAAATTTTTAGTTAGATTAAAATTTTAGGTTAGTTAGATTAAAATTTTAAGTTAGTTAGATTAAAATTTTTATTTAACAAATTTACAAAAAAAAGGAAGAATTGCAAAACTTACCGTATTTTAGAGACAATATTTTTTGAAGATGGAATTGTTTTCTTTTTTACATCAAATATTTACTCAAAATAATGTGAAATTGAAGTAGCTGTTCAAATTTTACTTATCAAAGTAAAGTAATCTTGAGTTGTTTTTCAAAACAAAGATGTATAGTTGAAGGTTAATGACAGGTGAGATTGATTGTAAATGATTAATTTAACTAATTGTTTCTGAAATTGATCAATCAATGATGTTTACTTTTAAATATTACAGACATTTCTAGAATTCGATTTCTTCGCTATTTTCTTTGACTTCTTTTTATTCTTAAAATTAAAAAGTGAAATGAATCACATCAGAGCAACTGCCTCTAATATATTAATAAATGATTTCTTATGAATGATTCAGAAAATTATTCGAAATAGGCTTAAATATTGTCGGTAAGAAAATAGAAACTGCGACAATTTATAGCGACAACAAAGTTTGTTTTACTCCTCTAGCATAGTAATTGGAATTTGATCGATTTTTGGAAAGTATCTTTTGCATTTTGGTAATTGTGGAAATATTTTCCGTACAAAAAAATTGTTGGAAATATTTGCAGAAGTAATGATTGGCCAATAAAATTGAGCCTTTATAGCCTAAACAATTTTTGAATATTGTCAAGTGTTGTATGGGAATGAATTAGAAGGCCTTTTTTTGTTCATTAGTCCTAATTGAAGGCGCTATAGTCCGATATAATGATTCCTTCAAGATTTAGAGATTTTATGATTGCATCGAATATCAAATAATGATCGATTTTGGTAAATGCTTTCTAGGTTCTTTTCTATCTAATTATTGGTCAGCTATCCGATAAAATTCAATTTTTGTCGTTTCTCTAAATTCAATCGACAAATGGTTGATTCTAAATGACAATTTTCAATTATTGGTCAGTCAATCTATAGTGCAAAAATTTGTTTGAAATGATGAACTCGCTTAATCATTCGGGAGGATCAATTACAATAATTGATTTTAGGGTCATTGTCCATTACCGATAGAAGGTTATTCATTATCTTTTCAGCTTATTGTTGTCATTTTTTCCGCAGATTTTGTAAATTCTCGCTTTGGTATTTTTTATTGAAATAAAGAAAGTTTCAATCGGATATGACTTTCTTAATCTGAAGAAAAGTAAACAATGGAAGTTGTAAGCAAGTAAACAATAGAAGCTGTAAGCATAATTAATTTCCAATAAGTTTCAATCGGGTATCATTTTCTTAATTTGAAAAAGTAAACAATAGAACTGTAAACATAATTAATTTCCAGTAAGTTTCAATAGCATATCATTTTTTAATGTGAAAAAAGTAAACAACAGAAGTTATAAGCATAATTAATTTTCAATGAAATAAACATTAAATATGAAATAAGCATTAAAATGATATATTCAATTTTTAAAATATTAAATTTTAATAATCCAAAAAGTAACAATTACATCATCACTAACCAAAAATTCATTTCTTATATATAAGCAATTAAAATAACATATCTATAATAGTCAAGAAATAGTTGTCATGAAATAAATAATAAATATTAAGTCTAATTCTTTTCAATTATTTATTTACTTATTTGTTTACTTCTTCATTCCATCTCCATCGTTATCTTTATGTTTATTAAATGATTCATTCACTCAAAAAGAAGTAAACAAATAATGAATAGAATTTATGTTTATTAAATGATTTCCAACAAATAATGAATAGAACATTTTTAATAAACATAAAAATTGTTTACGAACATAAAATTGTTCTATTCATTATTTGTTTACCACTTTTTCCGTAATACTATAAATGAATTGTATGCTTTTGCCTTTCGTAGAAAATCTAATAATGCTTCAGATATATCGAATTCAAAAGAATACTACACTGAATATAGTTCATATGAGTGAAGTTCGAATTTGTTTAAATTTTTGAAATCGTAAAATTTCAATATGAATAAAAGATAGACGTTGTAAATTAATGCTTCTTTCTTTACAAACAACTTTGTTCCTCATTTTTTCTTCATTACTGTCATATTGGTTGATCGTAGTACTGTCATATTGGTTGATCGTAGTACTGTCATATTGGTTGATCGTAGTACTGTCATATTGGTTAATCGTAGCAACAACAGATTTAGAATTTAGCATTTTTTTAATTTAAACTTTTTTAGGAGCATTTTCTTTAGAGATTTAATATTTCAAAATTTATCAAATTTTCGATGATCTGAACAAATTTTCTAATCAATTGTTAAATATTGTAAAAACATCTATATATCATCAACCTTTCTGCATACATTACGACTTACTCCTATATTGTTATTCAATTGAAATAGAAAAACTAGTTTACCTATTTCAGTATCTAGTTAAATATTTGAGTTTATCTATTTAAATAAATTTCTATTAGCAATAAATAACCCTTTGAAAGGTGTGAATAAAAAATCTTATTAAAAATTGAGTTGAATGAAGAAAATATATTTGATAAAATACTTGTAGTATGTTTGTAGCAAATGTTGTTGTTGTTGTCGTTGTTATAATTGTTGTTGATATTTGATAAAATAATTGCAGTATGTTTGTAGCAAATGTTGTTGTTGTTGTTGTCATTGTTATAATTGTTGTTGATATTTGATAAAATGGTTGTAGTATATTTGTAGCAAATGTTGTTGTTGTTGTCGTTGTTATAATTGTTGTTGCGATTAGCAATATTAGAAAGCATTATCGAATACTATGCTTCTTTTTCCATTTATTTCAGAGCATAGTAATGATGGGAAAAAGGATTGTTGAATAAAGCCGTTGTTGTGAGCGGCAAAAATGTTCTTCTAACATGAAATGGATCGACTCTTTATACATTACATATTTGTTTGTTTCTTTCTTTCAGATTTTTTTCAACATTATTTTTTATCTGTTTTATCGTTTCTAAATTCTTAATGCACGTGTATATATATAATTGTTTATTTATTAATTTCTATTTTCTTATTATCTCTATTTTTGTCAAATATAATTGAAATTGTTTTCTTTTTTATTAATCTCTCAACGTTATCTTATTGTTTATTTATTTCCTTCTTAAATTCATAACATATAATAATCAAACAGTATACATATATATGTTGTTGTTTAGTTGTTTGTTTGTTTATTTGTTTATCTGTTCGTTATTAGTATTAAATGAATTTCTGTATTCTTTGAATTTACTTTTAATTCCAATATAGTTTATTGTCGAAATTGTTTACAATTCATATGAACTGAGATATTTTCATTGCTAATCAAATAAAAATGTCTTATTGTTTGATAATTTATCCAAGAATACTTTATTGTTCATTTAGGCTCACATATTGTTCTTTTTTAAAATTTTATCTTAAATTAATCTTAATCTTAAATCGTAATTAATCTTAATCTTAAATTAATTTACAGATCTAAAATTGTTTATCGATCAATCACATATAAAATGATCAGCGATTAAGTGATAATAAATCAAGATTCTGCGGAAATTTTCACATTCAAGCAAATAATTATTTGATGTAAAAATTTCTCGAGTACAAGCAAAATGATGAAATCTGCTCAATCTCATGATTCGATCGTATATCGGGTGAAATTTCGTCATATATCATCACGAAACAAATAACTAACTATTGGCTAAAATTTATCCGTTGAATATTGAAATTTCCACAATTGAATCATAAATGGTTATTACTGAAAATACGGATGAAATTATTTCAAATCGTCACATGCAAATATGGCGATTTGAAAAGCAATTTGATGAGAGAATATGGAAGATGAGAGATAAAAGAAATGAGAGCAAAAAAGAGAAATTAAATTGGAAATGGTATAAATTACGATCAATTCTATTACTACTATTAGTAGTTGTTGCGCATTCGCCAATACAATTAGTGACCGCTAAATTGAGTGGCGCTGATAATGGATATTGTGAAGCAAATAGCGGTTAGTATTAATTTTAATTATTTAAGTTATATTTAAACGTATTTAAACGTTGAATCACATTTCGTTACAATAGGGGAAAAACGAATTACAGTAGTAAGATGAACGGTAATAAATACAGTAATAAGATGAAATAGCAGAAACTCATTATCGTAAGCAAAATGAGTTGTAGAAAAATATTGTAACAAAAAACCAGGTTACAGTAATGACGATAAATACATCCAATTTATATGTTTTAAATGTTAATTCATTTTTAATTAATCATTATTATTCGTTCCATTATTGTCGTAAATTTCAAGCTTTCATTTTTGACACTTTGTTTTAAATCTATTGTTAAATTTGAACGAACAATATGGAACCGGTTGGAACAAATTTTTCCTCTAACCTATCAACTTTTGATTTATTCCAATTTTTTTATTGCTATCTAATTTATCTAATTATTCGCCTATTATTAATTATGCTATTTGCTCTTATACATATTTTGCTTTCATATTATTCTAGTTTTTTCTTATTACACGTGTGATATATTTTAAGTTACATTTTAGCACCATTATTGACAACGTCATATATTGTCACACCTGCATTAGCTGCACTTTTTCGCCGTACCTGTCGATGTGCACTTGACTGGCGTTCACATTTTTGCAAACAAATCGAACGATACAAATTATTGCTTGCTAATACAGAAATGCAACGGCATGGAAATGATCAATTACCGATTGTTTGCGTTTGCAGGTTAAAATTGCTTGCATTTACCAAAAATGTATATACGTGCTTTTTATTGCTGTAACATGTACTTCATTTCATTTGCATTTAAATCAGTGATATCAATATTATTATCATTATCGTAATCATCAGTAAATTATTGTATTTATTATAAACTTATTTACATTACCTCCATATACTTATTTATTTTAATTCATTTTAACTAACTGTAATTAATTTATATGAAGTTGCTTGAAATGAGATAATTGTATTCATATTCTATTCTCTTTATAGATGATAATATATGAAAAACAATGAAATCATTTTTCTTTTAGGCAGCTTATATCAGAAAATAATTGTCAACAATTTATGACACAATGCTATTTTACGCCTGAAAATCAGCATGAAAGGTTTATTTTCTTATTCATGTTGAAAATTGTAGTGAAAAATAGCGCTAATTGCTTCTTCATTAATCCTAATCTTTTATCAAACTCATTGATATAAATAATATTATCATAATCATTTTCGTAATCATCGCTAAATTATTGTTGTATTTGTTGTAGAATTCTTCAACAGTGAATTCTTTTCAAGTCATATTCAAAAAATGTATGCTTACTATTTGTAGGACAACACGTAACTGAACAACATCTATTAATTTCAACTTTTTTAATAGATGAACAATTAAATTATTATTATTGAAATTTAAATTTTTAGTTGTACTTGCTGTTTCAATCAACCAAATGCATTTTGCAATCAATTACAATGTAATAATGGTGAACCAATATTTGATCGACATGCAAATACGACATGCATTTGTCATAAACCAACTTTTTATCCTTACAGTATTTGTAATTATCAAAGCTCATTATTCGTTGATCAGGGAGAGGTTAATAATTGCATTTTAACAACAAATTTATATATATATATAATACTCAGAAAAGCATACAAAAATTTTTTCCATATATTTCTGTAGTTTATTTTCCAGATGTCTCTACAAATCATTACTGTATTAAGATTTATAAGATTACTGTAAGCAACCATAATATGAGAGATCATTTAGATTGTCGTATCTAATAATCATGATGATATACAGCACTCTAATTACATTAAATATCCACTACATGATTCATCGATGCATAATGAGGAATCATTGAGGCTATATGGTATACAAATTACACCTACCTTGGCTACTGTCACTATTTTAGGTATATTTCTTTCTTAGGAATTTATTTAAAATTATTTAGCGAAACAAAAACTAATAGCAATTTTATAATGAACCAAATTAATCGTAATAAAATCAATCATTCCCTTATTTATTTATCGCTATCGCTATTCGTTATCCTATGAATGAAATCATTTTCAAATGAACAAAAATTAATAAATTATTTAAATCATCATAGATGATTTTCTCGTTTAAAATTATCCCTTTTATAGGCTTATTGGGTGCAGTAGTACTATTAACTATGATGTTACTTGTGATACGATCATACCGTACACATCGTGAGCATCGTAATCGTGCAGCAAAGCGTGAACTAGCGCAATCGATATTACTCGAACAACGTGCCGAAGAAGAAAAATATTTACCGTAGAAAATTCGCTGTACGATTGATTTTACAAAGGAATTATTAGTCATAGATCTTTTCATATTCTATCAAATCTCTTTTTTTTTGAGAGAGAAATGTTGGAAATTATCAAATTGATTGTGTTGTATTTAGAAAGATGATAGAAAAAGATATTATCATTAATTATTCAATTAATTAAGTGGAAATTTTTTGGCAATAAAAATATTTTAGGTTTATCTTAACAAAGTATATTACTTCTTCTACACGCATATGATACGTATCGCACGTTAAAAACAAGTTTCATTTATTAAAATCTTTATTCATAACTCAAATACATTGCATATTATATTGATATATATATAAATAAGTTTTAACAAATAGCCACTGAACTTCTTTAGTTTTGGAAACATTAGAGAAATTCATCTAAATTTTTATTCTACATAAAATTCTACATAAAGCATAAAATTTAAAATTCTACAACCAACAATATTCTACATAAAACAAATATATACAAATTACAGTACAAAAATTACCATTTTACCGTAATAAGAAAAATTGAAACATTTTTTAACGTTGTAAAAAAAGTGCTTTTACTTTTCAAAAAAATTTAAAATATCATTGCGATATTAATATATGTATTATTTATCATATTTTTACAATTTTTCTTTTTGAAAAATTAAAACAAAAATAAAAACAAAATTGATAGAATTAATTAAACCTTAATTTTTACATTAATCTGCTACTGTAGTTAATGTGGTACTGTAGTATATAATCAATGAAAAACAACAAATTTACTATTCAATGAGGAATGGAATTAATTTTATGGAATGGATTAATCTTTTTTTCTTCGACAGCAAATCTTCTTTTATTATAAAATTTTATTTCAAAAAAAGATTTTCAAAATTACTACGTATATTTAATTCTATTGATTAATTCCATTAAATTAATTAAATTAATAAAATTTTATGGTGTAATTTCAAAAAAGAAAATAAAATAAATTTATAATGCATATATATTTTGCCTTAATTTGTACATTAATGTGATACTGTAGCAAATGAAAAAAACAACAAATTTACTGCAATGAAGCAGAATGGAATTAATTATATGGAATGGATAATTCTTTTCTTTTCGTCGCAAACTTTTATTAGAAAATTTTATTCCAAAATTCATTCAATTAATTAAATTAGTTGATTAAACAAAAAAGATTCTAAAATTCATTCCACCAATTAAATTAATTGATTAACCAAAAAAATTCCAAAATTCATTCCATTAATTAATTTCATTAAATTAGCTAAGCTAATAAAATTTCATGCGTAATTTCAAAATAATTAATTTAAAATGCATATATATTCATGAGTCTCAAAAGCATATTTGTTCTATCCCTTTAGGCATTCAAATATTTTTGTTTTTCAAATAATATTTTTCAAAAATTTTTTTGCCACTAATTAATTATAAAAGAAAACTTAAATGCAAAAATTTCCTTTTGTTTTTATTTAAACTCTTAAAATTTTAAATTATTTTTTGTTTAAATCTTGAAAATAGGTATTCATAAGATGATTTTTATTGAAAGAATTTTTTTGAATATTTAAAAAAGTGATCAGGGATTAATTCCTGATAGAACAAATGATTATAATTAATTAATTATGGACAAATCAGCATCATATAAATAAGAACAATGGATAACAATAACACGTAAAAGTTTAGCATAAAAATGGTTATTAGTTAAAACTTCCGTAATATATTTGTAATTAAGCATTAAAGCCTAAAACTTAATTAAACTTAATTAAAACTTAATTCATCGCGATTAACAACAAAATATGTTTTCATCATTTTTCCATTGTTTCTTACATTTTCATTTAACCGATTCGTTTTTGACATATAAATGAATGGATTAAATTTATTGCTTGAAATAATTATGCCAATTTTTGCAAACATTATAATTATGCTAATTTGTGCAAACATTAATTAGAAATAGGAATAAAATCTTAGGTTAAAAAAAATAAGCAAAATTAGCAAATCGAAAAATTTTTAATTATAATTTTAATTTGTTAATTATTTAATAGTAATCATAATTATGTATTTAAATATCATATCCATCTATTAACGCAAAACTAAAAAATCTCCTCATTCATTATTTTCAAATTTTTGAAACTTTAATTTAAATTCATAATAAATAAAAATTGAACCACAATTAAATGACTGAAAAAATACATCATTAAATATAATTATTTAATTACAATAAATTTATTACTAATTAACAAATTTCATGAATTGAAAAATATCCTTCATTTAAAGGAGAAAATGAAATTTTAAGCAAAGCGAGTAAGAATGGCTTTTTTTTAGGATCGAAGAAAAATGCAGAAAAATTGTCAATATAGCTTTTTCAAATATTTTTTCACGGATGGTAAAACTTTTTCAAAATTATAATTAAATTTAAAAATAAGAGAGAGGAAAAATTCTTTGAAAATTAAATGACAATTTCTAATTTAATTTCATTTTTCAATTTAATAAATCGTTTGGTTATTTGTCCTACATATTTTCGACCTGTTGCAATCTTAGGAAAATTTGCATCATTTTAGGGAATTTTTCAAAAAATGAAATTTAAAAAATTCATTTGCAATTAATTAACAGTTAGGGGTATTTTGTTGTGTGAAAAATTTCGAAGCGATTTTTTTCAATTTAAAAGTGAAATTAAACATTTTTCAACGAATGTTGAAAAATGTTTAATAAACAAAAAAAATGGTCGGTTAATTGTTTTTTCTTCAATTTTATAATTTTAAAAATTTATTTTCCAAATGGTAAAAAGTTTTTAACCGTTTCCAATGCTTCATTTACGACAGTTTTTGCTTTTTCAACATGTTCGGTTAAACCAAGTTGACCGATCAGACCTAAAATAATATAAGCGTATTTATTCAAATTTTTTCCTGTCACAAAATTTATTTGTAAATGAAAAGTTTTTTAGCAATTTTTTATTTATTCAAAATAAAGCCACCAAAAATTCTTCAATTATTATTAAGCTTTTTTTTGTTCGATAGATTAAATTACACAGGTAAGTAGGTGATTATAATAAGATACTTATTTACCTGTTTAATTAGCAATATTTCACTTATTTAAAACTTATTCAAGTTTCTAAAAATTCTTCAATTATTATTTCGTTTTTTTTTTTTTGTTCGACAGATTAAATTAAACGTTAGTAATTATAATAAGATACTTATTTACCTGCTTAATTAACAACATTTCACTTATTCAAAACTTATTCAAGTCTCTAAAATGTTTTCCAATTATTATTTCGTTTTCTTTTTTTTTTGTTCGATAGATTAAATTAAACAGGTAAGTTAGTAATTATAATAAGATACTTATTTACCTGTTTAATTTAATTTAACAAAACAAGATATGAAAAAAATGATTAATTAAATAAAATTTTAAGCCAAAATAATTACTATCGTCATCTTCCATTTCTTGTGCTATTTGTTGCGGTGTTTTCTTCAATGGACCAACGATACGACCATCCATTGATGTATTAAATGGTGCATTACCAATGCAATCTTCTTTCTTTTGAATATTATACTAAAAATAGTTAGGAATAAAAAATCAGAATTAATTGATAATTCAAAAAAAGAAATGATAATTCTAAGTTGTATTTATGTTATACGAAGAAATAGCTATGAATACAAAATAAGAATTAATTAATAATCGAAAAAGAAATGATAATTTGAAATTGTATTTGTGTCATACTAAAATAGCTATGAATAAAAAATTAGAATTAATTGAATGATAATTTTAAATCGTATTCGTGTTAGAAATTATTGAGCTAATTTTGATACATAAAATAAACTTAATAAATTACTTAAATGATTTCCTACCTTCGAACGAATATCTTGACGCATTTTTTCACGTTCACGTTCCATTTTACGATGACGTTCTTTACGTCGTTCTTCTTGCTCCAAACGTGCTGCAACAACCTGCAAATGAACGCTTTTGTTGAAGTTATTTGAATTTGATAAAATAATATTGTAGAAATGAAAATGCAAACGATTACTAAATGCTATCACAATTTAAAATAATTAATTTTACCTCAAAATACTACTTTTAATTTTGTCGATTCAAAATTATTAATTCCACCTCAAGCAAGTAAATTGGATGGTGAATACGATATATGATAATTTAAATTGTATTGATGTTATACTAGGAAGAGCGAATACGCGAAATGATTATTAAGCAATTCTCTAAGTACCATAAATTGTCAAATGCCAATAGGACTTAAATTAAATGACCTAAATTTACCAATAAGACCTAAATTTCAATTAAATGTAGACATCAAATCCTGGTTATTTTTTTTGATGTAAAATATAGAAAGTTTAAAATCGAAATAAGAAGTAAAATTTAAAAGTTGTACTTCCGGATCTTCACCAGATTCTGTCTTTTCGCCACCTTCACCATCTTTATCACCGGTAAGTTTGTCGATTCCACCTATTAAATATAAGCAAATGTTAATTTGCATTGTTAATCAGGATTATTGCCAGAATACATTTACGGCTGATTATTTTACAGATTATTCATTCTGCTATACACATAACCTCAAAATATCAAAGATTAAATTTCACCCTAAAACAATTACAGTTAAAAATTTCACCTCAAAATAATAACACGTAAAGAAGTTCGATGAATGCTAAAAGGAATATTTTGAAATTTCATATAAAATTTCATACCTTTCATTTCATTCAATTTTCCACCAACCATTTGTTTCATAATAAAGCTTGCCATTTTTCGTTTCCAATTCCTGAATTTACCAATAAGAATAATTATCCTTAATGTATTTCTTTCTATTTCAAGATTTTCGAAGATTTCCGTGATTTTCGTAATTTAAGATTTCCGTAATTTTTTGAATAAAATGAAACCTTTTTGTCTTCGTTAATTTTTTTTTTGCAAAATTTATTTTAATTTGAATTTCTCAATTTTTACGATAACTTTTCTCAAAAGTAAACGATGAAAATTTCGTTGAAAAAGAACGAATGGATGAACGAAAAAATTGCTTTAAATAATATTGTACTAAAATTTAAAAATAATATTGCAGTTAAAATCTTTTTTTCCTCTTTTTATTTCGTAATGATACGACGACAGGTGTAAAATGGATGAATGATGAATCATAAAAGGTTGAAAGCAGTTAGTGAAATGGAATGAATGAATGAATCATTTGAGTAAATATTATTTGATTTACTCAATGGATTCTGATGCACAAATAGAATAGAATAAATTTTAAAAAAGGAAGTTATGATGAGGAATGTAAAATAGATGAACGAAGAATCATGATTCTGATGTCCAAATAGAATAGAATATGTTCTAAGAAAAAGGAGTTAAGATGAGAATTGCAAAAGTGGATGAATGAAGAATCATAAAAGATTTAAAGTAATCATTAAATGTAATGAATGAATCATTTGCGTAAATTTTATTTGATTTACTCAAAGGATTCTGAAGCACAAATAGAATAGAATATGTTTTAAGAAAAAGAAGTTAGGATGAGAATTGTAAAATGGATGGACAAAAGAATCATAAAAGATTTAAAGCAATCATTGAAATAGAATGAATGAATGAATGAATGAATCATTTGAGTAAATTTCATTTGATTTACTCATAGGATTCTGATGTACAAATAGAAATAGAATATCTTTTAATGAAAAAGAAGTTACGAATGAGAAATATCTGCATTGCATAAATCAAAGAAATAGGCAGTAAAAAAAGAAAGAACGTTGTTGAATCGATAGAAATTTGAAATGAAATTTGTGGGAAAAAAAAAAACGAAGAAGATAGAAAGTAATATTTTCTTCTTGCATAACGAGACAAAACCAAAAATTCTTCGTGATAAAAAGAAAGTTAGTAAAAGTTAAAAAATAAACATAGGCATGCATTAGTTGAAATTATTGGCAAACAAAATTCTTCCAAAAAAAAAGGTTGTCAGGCATAAACTTTAAACCAGCAAATAGGCATTAGTTTAAATGATTTTTTTCAAAAAAGGAAGGAGGAGGAGGAGGTGGAGGAGGTGGAGGAGGTGGAGGAGGTGGAGGAAAAGTACATGAAATAGCACACAACATTTGTCCATTCAATTTTTATTATTTCAATCGGATAACGACAAGGAAAAAGATTAAAACGAATTAATTGAAATACTAATGTGCAAAATATTTTATTTTATCGCAGCATACTAATATTGCTTTATTTTTCACCATGGAATTTTATACAATGCGAATTTATTCAAGAAAAATCCTAAATAATTATATTTTGTAAATTGTAAATTAAATTTGTAAATTGTAAATTTGTAAATTAATTTGTAAATTTGCAAATTAAATATGCAAATAATTTCCAATCAATTTAGAAATATATATATATATAATCGATTCCCAAATATATATATGATATAATCAAATATATATAATTATATATGTATATATAATTATATAATTATACATATATATATATGTATAATCGATTCCCAAATATGTAATTAAATTTGTAAATTAAATATCCAAATAATTTCCAATCAATTTAGAAATATATGTATATGATATAGAAATATATGTATATGTATTAATTCACAAATATATAATGGATTTTATATTTCAATTCGAATAATATCTGCGTTTTCATTTTATATGTATTTTTTTTAAAACAAAGGATAAATTATCAATTTTCAGCTATTTATATATGTATCTAATAATTTCCAGGGAATAATCCCAAATAATTAATTAATGGAATTTCTTCAGAGATTTTGTATCCCTTTAAATTGAACATACCATATATACATAATCGATTCCCAAATATGTAATTAAATTTGTAAATTAAATATCCAAATAATTTCCAAGCAATTTAGAAATATATGTATATGATTAATTTACAAATATATAATCGATTTTAAATTTCAATTCGAATAATATATACGTTTTATTAACAAAGGATAAATTTTCAATTTTCATCTATTTATATATTTATATTAATTTCCAGGGATATGTATTTGAAATTTTTAAATTAGAATCTCTAAGACGCATCTTTTCATATCTTGCGAATTATGAATGGTACTGAGTTATAAATGGAATGATTCATTTAAATGGAATTTGTTAAGGGATTGAATTTTGAATTTATTTCTGTTAACGAATTATTCTTGATTGAATCTATTAATCAAATCATTGATTTATGATATTGAAAATTCAAGTCAAATAAAAGAGAGTTAGTGTTGACAAGTTTATTTAATTTCTTCATTATTCACTTATTCTATTTCCGTTATTTAAATTTTTATTAAAATGATAAATTCAGTAGTAAGGAAAGATTTTCCCTTTTTACTTTTTATAATATATATAAGCAATGGATTATCGGAAACTTTATAGTTATATTTATAACTAATCAATTTACCATTTTACTTCAAATATTGTGCAAATTTCGAATTTGTAAATTTATAATTTTATAGCTAAAACAGTAAGTGATAATTAATGAATACACTACATTATCATTTAATAAATAATACTAATTAGTAAAGCAATCATTGTTTATCAGTTTATTATTATTATTATTATAACATATAATGCGAATATTTTTCTTAATTAGTAACGATAGGTAAATCGAATTCTTCCTATCGTGCGAAATAATATCCAAATACCATTTGCGATATCATAAATACTTAACGATCAATTGATAAATTCTCATTGATATTTTAAATTTTCAAATTTTGTTGCGACAAAACATATTATTCAATAGTTAATTTTAAAGAGGAATAAAACGATAAAATAATAATGATAATAATAATAGTAATATATAATAATAATAACAATAATAATGATGATAATAATAATAATGATAATAATAATAATAATAATAATAATGCATACAAAAATTAAAATCATAAAAAAAATTGTAATGATTCGACGAAGAAATGTTTATGGTTGAATAAAAAAGTGTTCACGATTTGATAACGAAGCAATTATGGTTCGATAAGATTTGATAACGAATTAATGATGATTCAATAAAAAATAAATAAAGATGATTCGATAGGGAAATAACGATAATTCGATAAAGAATTAATCATAATCCAATAAAAAAGTAATGATAATTCGATGAAGAATTAATTGTGATTCAATAAAAAATAAATAAGGATGATTCGATCAAGAAATAATGGTAATTTGACAAAGTATTAATCATGATCCAATAAAAGAATAATGATAATTCGATAAAGATTAATCATGATTCAATAAAAAAAAAATAAAGATGATTTGATAAAGAAATAATGATAATTTAATAACATATTAAATCCAATAAAAAAAATAATAGTAATTCGATAAAGAATTCATTAATCGTGATTCAATAAAAAATAAATAAAGATGATTTGATAAGGAAATAGTGGTAATTTGATAAAGATTTAAATCACGATCCAATAAAAAAATAATGATAACTCGATAAAGAATCGTGATTCGATTAAGAATTAATTATAATTGATAAAGAATTAATTAAAATTCGATGAAAAATAGGTAAAAAGAGTGAAAGCATAAATAGAAAACAATCAATTATGTTAATTACTCTTTTTTCCTAATTAAATAATGAGTAAAACTTTTCAATAATTTCAAACTTTTTCAAATATTATCATCGTATTGACAACCTTTTATTAGTTGACAACCTTTTATAAGTTTTTTTTTAATTCAAAAAACTTTTCTTTCTTTTTCTTTCCATGAAAAAAGTGGTGAACAAAGAGAAAGAGAGAGAGAGAGAGAGAGAGAAAAAACGATTCGTAAATTTTGCTTATTTTGACATATGAATAAAAACGTAAGAAAGAAGTTGAGCAAATGGGATGAAAAGCCTATTCATTCATCTTCAATGTTACTACTGCTTCACATGCCTTAGTTTAAGACCCATTAGGCCAGCAAATATTCAACTCAATAGATAAGAAGAGTGGAAAAAAAATAAGTGAATAAAACGGATAGAAAGGCATATATAGACATAGATAAACGAAATTATAGCCTCGTGTGAATTGAGTGTTTTAAAGATCGATTTTCGGTTCAAAGCCTTAAAGGCGATGAAATTCGTCGTAAAAGTATATATATATATGCCTGTGTGTATATTTATGTATGTGTCTGTGTGTGTGTGTGTGTGTGTGTGTGTGTGTGTGTGTGTGTGTGTGTGTTTGTCATGAGAATTATGGGGATATTAAAGTTGGGAACATTTAAAAGTTTAAAGAAGCATGAAATGAACAATGAAGATAATTTTACTTGCATCATTAATAGGAATGATTTAATTTAATAAAGTGATGACTCATTAAATTTAGTAGATATAATGATATTACTGAATCAATACTAAAAACATCAAATTTCCTAATGGATGATTTTAGGTACGACTTGATGATGCTACGACAAAATATTGGAGAAATTTGCTGAGCGTATCGATTTCAAAATAGGATGTCAAGATTTTCATCCATTAGTCGGCAAGCATTAATAATAGGAATAGCTGACATCATCATCATCATCATCATCATCCATTAATTAATGGATATTCACATTTCTGAGATTTTAGAATTTTAAAATTGATTTTTTGTTGAAAATTTCAAATAAACTGCCATGAAGTAAATAAATAATGACAGATGAGAAGCGAAAAAAAGAAAGGAAGAAAATTATGTATCACCGATACATTGTCGTTGTTTATGGATCAGCTTGATATCCGCGTTACGTTCTATATGAATTATATGCTCTTTAAAGGAGGCTTATGTGTTATTTATTATAAGCTCCACTAATTGG